GGGAGCCGGCGGTAGCCGCTCCGGGCGGCCGAGACTCCTCATGCGCGGCGGTACCGCCGGCACGCTCGCGGGGCGGGGCGGCAGACGCCAGCCGGCGGCGCGCGGGCAGCTATAGCGAGGCCCTGCCGGGCACCGCCTCTTGCTCCGCCCCGCAGGAGGACGCCCCGCCCCTTCCGGTGCAGGCGGCGAAGATGGTGGGTCTGGCTCGCTGCGCCGCGGAGAGGGCCTGGCCCGGCGGGTCGGCAGAGCCCGCGTCTCCGCCTTCGGGGCGGCGTGCAGGTTTTCATCCCGCGCAGCGGGCCGGGAGGCTGGCCTGGGCTAGTGGCTGTGGCGGCCCCAGTGGTGACGCTGCCGGCGCTCGCCACTCGGGTCCTGGCGGGGACCCGGGAGCCCGCCTGCCGCCTGGGCCGGGCCTGGCGATGGCGACGGCGGGACGGCGAGCGCCCGGCGTGGTGGCGATGGGCGGCAGCCCCGCTTTGTGGGGCGCGGGGGTTCGCCTGCGGCCGGGGCCGTGGCGGCGAGGGGCGCGGCGTCCTCGGCGCGCGCGGTGCAGGGCTCCTGCCTCCGGTTGTTCGGTTGACGGCTGGCGAAGGGCTGCTCTGTCTCAGCTTTATTTAGCGAAAGGTTTCACTCGCAGCCTGTCCCTGGGAAGAATTGAGCCAGGCCGCGAAGTGGCGATGTGAGGTGCGCCGTCAGCCCCGTGCTCAAAGCAGACAAAGAGGTGTCTGTTTCCAAACAGTTCCTACTGCTAGTGGTGGTGACTAAATGATACCTCGGTACTAAAACCTCTTGAGCTGGTAATGCAACTGACGTTTTGTTGGTACTTTTTACAGGGGACACCGCAAAAGGATGTTATAATAAAACCCGATGCCCCAAGCATGTTGCTTTCGGAGAAGCATGCGGACTATATAGCTTCGTATGGGACAAAGAAAGATGATTATGTATGTATGATTTGTTTCAGTACAGCTCGGAGTTGAGGGTTAGGTGCATGCTCCCAAGCTAATTGTTTCTGGCCCTGCAGCTCAGCGTGTAAAAGAGGTCTGTGATGAGCCTTGGCATGTATTGCCTGAGTATAAATTTGAAGATAATCAGTTTAGCTCTAGAATCACTCTGAGGCCTGAGGAATTAACTACTCGTTGCTTCTTCATCCACTAGAATGCGCAAGGAGTATAGCTGCGTTTACATGTTGCCCCTTTGATGGGACAACATACGGAATCTCACACCAGCACTTCTTTGTGCTTTCTAGGTTTGATGAACACTTTAACTAGCATCAGTTTTATAGTCACAGGTCATCAGATGTAGCCTACAACAGTAGGATTCCAGTTCCAGCAGGTGAAAAAATGTCAATAACTGCTTATGCCTGAAGAAAAGTTGCAGTTACTTTTACTGTCCACAGAAGAACTCTAGGCACTGTTGCTTGTGATTGTTGTTCTTGTGCTTAGAAAGTACTGCATGTAGAAAATAATGTTTATGGGTAGTGTAGGTGATGTAACCAATGTAAGAGAATTCAATATGAAATTTCACTTCTTAGTGCAGCTTTAGATTGTGGCAGTTTTGGCCCTTGGAAGTAAGTTTCATTAAATGTTAGACTTGTTATTTTTGAGACTAGTTGGGGTGGTAATTGGAGTGGTGGTTTGGATGCCAGGATGATAACTGATAATCTGAATTGGTGCCTAACTACTTGTATGTGTTTAATTTGACATGGAGCTTGATGCTTTGAACTAGAAGATAGAGGGGAGGAAGGGAATGTAGTATGTGTAGACATATACACGTGTATGTGCCTGTATGTATGCGTGTATATACATACATGCATGGTGTACAGAGTATTTGAGTGGCTGATACATAGCAAGTTGTTAGTGGGATGGAAGATGGTTGACATGTTACAAACTTTAAGTGTTAACTAATGTATTTTCATTGCTCTATATTGATGATGTGCTTATCTGATTAAGAACTAAAATAATGCACTACTTAGGAATACTGTATGTCGGAGTATTTGAGGATGAGTGGTGTTTACTGGGGGCTGACAGCAATGGATCTCATGGGGCAGCTGCACCGAATGAACAAAGAAGAAATTCTGGCATTCATCAAATCATGTCAACATGAATGTGGTGGAATAAGTGCCAGCATAGGTCATGATCCTCATCTTCTCTATACCCTCAGTGCTGTCCAGGTAAATGTAACAGGGTAATTTTAGAAACATTTGTAATTAATGATTTTGATGATTGCAGATTTACGAGCCAGGTACTGTTGGATCCTGATAGCAAAAACTATTTCAGTACCTTATTAAAAAAATAAAATCTAATGGACAAAACTTTAGGATTTAGCTGTAGCGTTTCCTAAAAAATTGTCAGATTTGGGAACGTGCTTTTAATGATGATTTAATGATGACTGCATTCTTGATACGTTTTGTAACAGTCTTGAAATACTTTTCAGCTACAGGTTTTACTGGAATTTTTTGTAGATAATTTTGGATTTTTATAAATTCTTAGTGTACATTGAGGCGAAAGATACGTATGACCAGAATAAGAGTAAAGTTTTGGATTTTATTTTTTAATGTATATATTACAATTGCTATATATTATAATGTTTATATAAATGTATAATTATGTGTAGTGTGTTTACACTTTAGTACTGTACAAAAGAAACATTGTAGTACTTGGTTCTTGTGTTCCTCAAATCTGCTTTTTTTGTGTATAACTTAAAAATGATACTAGTCTGTTAAGCATTTTATTTATTTATTTGGTGTGTACTCTTCCCCTGAGAAAAAGTAATTCTCAATCTTATTTTTTCACCATAACTATCTCCATTATAGATTTAATTTCTCACTATGTCTTGTGTCTTTTTTTTCCTTTTTTTTTTTTTCCCCCCACTCCCTCTCATGTAAACTATCGTGGAAAAAAAAATACCGAAAAGGCTCAAATGCTTCTGAACAATTGCTTGATTGCTTGCATAATGTATCTCTAGTCTAATCTTATGGAAGAAATATTTAAATGGTGTTACAAATAAATAAGATAGCATTCTGTTTTAGGAAGAAAGTGTGTTGGATTTAAGGTGTTGGATTTGAAACCCTTAGGTAGGACAGGAGAACGCTGTTTTGTTGGGTCGGTGATGAATGTTGGCACGTATTATCTGCTCTAAAGTTGATATTTATCACCACTTTAGCTCTAGAATTACTCTGAGAACCAGGAAACTAAAGTTTCTTTAGGCTATGGTGTTTGAGCTTTTCCAAACTGTCCAGTGGAACTCCTTTCACAAGTTCTAATCCAGTGTAAGGAGAAAGGGGTACAATTAAAGGTTGTTTACTTTTACATATGAGAAATATTAATTCTTAAATAAATACTTGAGGTATTTTCATGTTAACTGAATGCAGCTCTAGATGTGCGAAGCTGAAAAGTTTTAGCAAATGCTGATGTAAAATATTCGTGGTAAACTTAACCAGCATGTCTTAATGAGCATGCATATTCTTAGTGAACAAACACCGTTTAGTCCTGTCTACATATTCAGAATGCATAAAGGGTCATATCACATCTTCCTTTGATCACAATTAATAGTAATTTGTTCAGATTTACTTTTTAAGGAGCATGCTATGATTATATATTTTCTGTTGGAGTTGTACGTTCTTTTTTGCATTTCTGTAAGACTTAAATTTTATCTAACAAGTGAAAGATTCCAGCTAACTCTAGGTGTTCAAAGTCATAGTTGTTGGTATTTTTTCAGGATTGGCACTATACTATTGCTTGGTTTCAACTGCTCTTTCTATAATGCTACTTATAATAAATTCTTAATTACTCTCTTTACAGATTATGCAAGTTATGAGTAAAAACACGAAGCCAACTGGGGCTTGGAAACAGTACTGTTGTTTTTACATGACATTGTGTCATATGGGTTTATTGGTTCAAATCAGTGCTCGCTTGGAAAACTTTGTATTCCCTACTATGACCTTTATTTTTCTTCCAGAATATATTAACTGTATAGTTTGTGTCTAATGATATTGTTCATACTTTTTCTTAATTTATTGCAATTTGGTTCTTTTAATTATATTTAAAAATGGAATGTAAATAAAAATCTTGTAATTCGAAACTAATCATTGCTGACAGGCTTGGACTGTTAAGTGGTATTAGTAACTACCTGCTTAACTTATACTTGCACATATCCCAGTAGCAGCAGTGCACAAACTACAAATTTGTAAGTCTGGGATGTCATTATCCCATTACAAAATTAACCGTATTCAAATCTCTGTTCTACATAATACTAACATAGAAACAAATAAACCTGATCATGCTTTTGAAAGGAGAGCTGGAAGTTGGAAAGTAACAAAGCGTGAAAGAGTTCAACTTGAATTGCCTATATTTTCATTTGAGAATTTCTTTAAGTTTTTAGACAGATAGATGAACTCCAGTGAATGAAATTTTGTTTTGATAAGTCTTACCAAACAGTATTCACAGTCAATTAAAAGAAGTTTTTATAAATCCAAGATTTCTTTTTTTTAAAGAAATAAATTTTTAAAATTTTTGCACCTCTCTGATTGTTACTGTGTCTTTTTTTTCCAGATTCTTATCTTATATGATAGTCTTCATGTTGTTGATGTAAATAAAATTGTTGAATATATACAGAACTTGCAAAAAGAAGATGGATCATTTGCTGGAGACAAATGGGGTAATTTTTAGATCTTTAAAATTTAGTGACTAGGTTGACATGTGTAAGTCTGTGAACTTAAGTTTCCTTGAATGGTCTTTTTGCTTATGTATTGTATGTGAACACTTTTATTTTCTGAGTTATGAAAAAGGAGGTTTTTTGAAGGAAAGAGTTGTGTTTCATTCCTTTCATAAATATTCTAAACTTCAGTTCCATTCTTGTGTTAAAAATAAATTGCTCAGCTTTTAAAGAAGAAAACTTTCGGGCGTTTGTAACTTGGCAGTACTTTGATATACTAGATATGCTATTCCATAAGGAATGTTTTATCCTTGCTATTTAATGGCAGTTAGTTACGATCTTTATCCATGTTGGCTGTGGAAGGATCTTTCACTATATGGGAGTGAGAAAAACTGGTTTTGTACTCATGAACATTTGTTAATACCAATTTTGTTTCTGCACATAAATTATTTATGAACAAAGATGGTATTTTTAAGGTGTAGCATAAATATTTAGTCACTCTAAAAATACTTATCCCCATGGAACACTTAAATTTTAATAAAATGTATTGTATATCACTCATGTTGTTGTTCTGGTAAAATCAGCAATCAAGATCATGGCAGTGTGTATATGCTACTGTAAATGTAGCTGCTATGCTGTGTGTTAAAATGGTTCATAGTTTGCTGCATCCTTTTTGTTAAAGTATTGAAACAAATGTACTGAATGCACAATGGATTTACATTATTTCTGAAAGGCAGTTGGAGTGCAACTGAAGGAGTGTGATACCTGATGTAGTACAGAACAGCACCTTTGTTTTATATGTTTCAGCTTGTGGATTTTTTAAGAAGAAAAGTCTTGTGTCAGTTTGACCAAAAAATTGAATGCTTGTGGCTGGGTTCAATTTTAAAATTTGACTTCAAGTATTAATTGCTCACAGTTTGTGCTAGGAGAGTTGCATTGGTATGGATTATATTGGTATACTGAGCAATCATTCTGCTATAGGTGTAGCATTTTTGGTTTAACTTCCAGCTATACATATGCAAAAGAAAACTTGCAACTTTCATCAGTCTTATGGCTTCTGACCAGATTTAAGGCAGATCAAGAGTTGTGTCTTGAGTATTTTTGAGTCCACTGCTTTGCAATTATCTAGTAGAGCACTACAGATAAACTCTAAAATTATAGTTATTTGTAAATTACCACCAGTTGAATTGATTTGGATATATATCTGACTATACACCACCTCAAAATGAGTTGTTCGCTTTTATGTGCAGTAAACATACAGATCTCTTGAGTTGTAATGTACACTTTCTGAATTACTGAGGAAATAATTCATGGGCTGGAAAAGGAAACAGTATGGGGGCAGGTTTTGGCTGAGTTTTGTTGTTCAGTGTAAAACCTAGTATTTTAACATTTTCTGCCATATTTTCAGTGGTGATTTAAATGTATTTTTTGTTGTTGTTAATAAAAATACTCTTACTTCATTCCCTGTCCCCCCATGTTCTAGGAGAAATAGATACAAGGTTCTCCTTCTGTGCTGTGGCAACTCTTGCACTTCTGGTAAGTCCTAAATCATTACTTGCACAAGTACAGAATCTTCTCTTTGGTACTGCTGAAGTTTCTGTAGTTAATAAGCTTGGTAGAACGTAAAGCGCATTAGTTGCTTTTCTGACTTGCAGGGAAAGCTGGATGCTATTGATGTGGGGAAAGCAGTAGAATTCGTTTTGTCCTGTATGAACTTTGATGGAGGATTTGGTTGTAGACCAGGTTCCGAATCACATGCAGGACAGGTGAGTTTTTCTTCATATGGAAATGTTTCAAGTTAGCAAGCATCGCATACTGCCTATAAATGTTTCTTTACAACATCTATCAGTGATATCAATTGATACACCTTTCTTGTTTCCCAAATGCCTGATTCTAATACCTTAGTTAAAATAAATGAACAAATATATAGATAAATCTGAGAAGACGAGTAGAGACTTGAGAGGTTATAGTCTGGGCAAAAAAAAAAAAAAAATCATAAGGGAACTTAGGACTGTGTTTCAATCTTCACATAGTGATGTTGGAATAGTTAGCACAAGGATTTTTAGAGAATGGGAAATGGGTATTAATGGAGACATTGGACAAGATCTATCACTGTGTCTGCCACAAATCATAATGAAACATAAAGGCCAGTTGTATAATATGTTTGATATTTATCAACTGATGAACTCAAAAATGAGACGTGAACTTTCTCAAGGGGAGGCTTGCTTAATTTTTTGAGGTAAGTCACTTTTAAGATGATGGCTAACTCGGGCATGGGAACATTTTTCATGTTTTGTTACAGGCACTGAAGAGTTTTGCTAGTGACAGTGAGTTCTGAAAAATGCTCAGTAAAATCTAGCTGAGAAGAGAATGCAGTAGTATAACTGGAACAAATTAAGGGATCTCTCAAGGAAGAGAATCTCAATGGCTCTTTCCGGCAGAAAATTTACATTAAAAACTACCTTTCCTATCATTTTTTTTTGTCATGGAAGGGATTATTGCACTTAAGCTGAATTTATGAATAGAAATCAACTTTTAATAAAATATTTTAATGCTGTTGCAATCACCCGTTTTTATATTGTGTGATTATGGTGAGCAATGCCATATCCAGGAGTCACCTCAGCACATAAAAATACTAGAGGTATTTTGTTGAGAAGTGTTGGGTTTCCCCGCCCTTCTTTTTTTTAAATGGGGGGGGGGGGGAACTTTAGCCTGGTACATGTACCTTATCTTATGAATTTTATCTACAGTAGCATTGCCCATATGGTCTAAACAGCTGGACCATGTTCTGCTGTTCAAGGAAGTCAGATTAAGTAGCTGAACCCACTCTGCAGCTGGCATTTCCTTGCGAGTATTAGATTTGTTGTGCATATTCACATACTCATTAAAATGCTGTAAAGGGCAGCTCCTTTGCCTGCACAGTAGTTCAAAAGTTTTCTGGGAATATCACATTTATTTTGCAGTATTCTTGGATGGGCATATCCCTGTTGATGTGTGCTTTTGTTGGGTTGGTTTTTGTTGTCTTTTTGTGCCTGTGTTCTATTGGGAAAAGGCAGTTATGAGCAGGCTTCAGTTGACATTGTGGTTTCTTGCAGTTTGTGCTTGGCTGCTTTCTTAGTGACTGCATGAAATGTGACCAGAGTATGCTGTTGCACTGTAAATGTTGTTTCCCAGGAAAAAATAAACAGGGATTAGTCAATGGACATACACTACATGACGCATTGAAAGTAAGCCTGACATGACTAGATGTACATGGGATTGACAGGATGGTTAATGATCAGGGTTAACCCGTTTCTGCTAGAGAATTCATTTAGTCTTTAGTTTGCTCTCCACAAGCCTTAGGGTAAGAGGCACATACAGGAACAAACCATAGGCTGGATGCAAAATTTTTGTAAAGGCCATATCCAACCTGCAGGAATCAGTTTGTGTACTCTGGCTTGAGAGTCTGTGTTTTTAAAACAAAACTGTATGGCTCTGATCTTTTAGCACTAAACCTTGCGTTAGTGTCTTATATTAGTAAAATCTTACTGTTCTATAATTACATTGTGTAACTGGTACTTTTATACAAAAGCAACTGTAACAGTAACATACTTTTCTAGTAGAAAAGTAAAACTCGTTGAAACTAAAAGTTGAAATGTGTGCTTATTTTGCATTGTGTTTGCATGACTGTATTCCTGCTTTGAGATTTTCCTGCATTTAGTCTGCTAAACTATGCTTAGTTTTTAAATACACAAAAAATTTATGTCTGTAATTTTAGATCTATTGTTGCACAGGATTTCTGGCTATAACAGACCAGTTGCATCAAATAAATGTTGACTTGCTGGGTTGGTGGCTTTGTGAACGTCAGCTACCTTCTGGAGGTCTCAACGGACGACCAGAGAAGGTATTAGGTGGCTTCTTTTGCTTTTCAAACATCAATAGAGATTATTTTTTCTAAAGCTGAAGTACTTCTGGAAAATGTCATGACTTCTATGAAATCTTTAGTAAACTTTTCAAAGAAGTCAGGCCTTCATTTTGATTCTTCATTTTGTCACTAGCAGTTGTCATGCAGTCCTTATCTATGCTTCGTTTCAGTCTGCAGTTTTAGGAAAGTAAACATACTGAAGTATGTCTTGCTGACCACTTGAACTAGTATACTGTTAAATAAGGGCTTGAATATTTTCTGACATTGGGAATGAGCTCTTCTGTAGGATTTGTACAAAAATTACTGTTTTACTGGATGTAAATCCTGGGTGTAATAGTATTTCACATCACACTAGGAAATTGTGTAACCTAGAATAATCTCCACTGGCAAATAGATAATGAAGGAACAGATTTTTTTCAAAAAAAATGAAACTAGTTGATACGAAGTTCTTTGTACTTACTCCTGAAAAAGGTGCTGTGTTTTTTTAGCCACTCTCACAGAAGGTGAATGCTGTTTCAAAAATCAGATTCTTGTGGTTTTGTTTCTTGAAGAAGGGGAGAGGTTTGAAAAGAGACTTTCCCTTCCTGAAGAAGGGAAGTAATCTGAAAAGAGACTGCACCCAGGAACATTATTCTCTCTTACCCCAAAGAAACTCTTTAACTGTTGTTCCTCTGCAAGAGTATTATGGCAGAACACCTAGTAATTTGCAGAATCACCAATAAAATTGGCAACATCAAGTTTAAACCAAAATCAAATAATAATCTGTTTCTCTGCTTGCCAGTTACCTGATGTATGTTATTCATGGTGGGTGCTAGCATCTTTGAAGATGATTGGTAGGTTACATTGGATTGACAGAGAGAAACTGCGCTGCTTTATTTTGGCTTGCCAGGATGAGGAGACTGGAGGATTTGCTGACAGACCAGGAGATATGGTAAATAATCCTTTACTAAATAAAATATACTTAACTGAAAATGGCAACTGAAAATTGCAACTGAAAATGTAAGTTTTCTTGTTTGAGTGTAACTCAACTCGTGATCCAGGTGTGTTTTGCAGAGCCTGTGTTCTACTTTGAAGGAAAGAATAGGGTGGAGTTGCTTTCGAAGGCTTACTTGGGGAGCACATGTTTTATATTGCACTTGTACTAGAGTATCCCCCACTGAAGTCAGTTGCCATTTCTTACAAGTTGTGGTTTGGTTCCCATTACACATACCACACAAATTGTTTCTCACACGACCACTTGGAAGATCTCTGTAAAAATCCTGTGTTTGGTGATGGTTTTTGGGGGATGTGTCGGGTTTTGGGGGGCTTGTTTTGTTTTGTAAAATGATATGCAAGCTAGAGTCCAGTGCAGGTTAAGTAGTCTTCAGTTGTCTTGGTGGTTTTGCCTGATCTAGATGAGTTGTAAGTTTTTAACAAGAATCCTTATATGCTAACTTTTGTTCTGTGCCAGCCCAGCCACTGAATGAATCCTCTCACTGGCATTTGTCTAGATGAGGGAGGAAGAAGCTTTTTTGATAACTTTATGAAGAGGCTGGTGGTATGGATTTTCTGCTTGGTTGAGAGAGCAGTTACGGTTTGGCTGGTCTGTTCTCTGGTTTCAAGCGGAAATAATTGAGATTGTCCAGGCAAAATGACATATGAAGTTTGTATCTTTCAAGGGTGCTGGACAGATAAAACTAAAAGTATTATGAGACCTCAGTGTAATTCCTATAGAACACTTGGCTGCTTATTTTTCAACAGTCAGAGGGAAGTCTTAGCTGTTTTTACTGTAGCTGACCGTGTCTTCTTTCTCCACAAATGCATTAAAAACTGAAGTAGCTTTCCATTTCTTTGCAAGCCGATACGTTATTCCCACTTGAGGGAGGGGGGGAAATCTCTTTATTCTGGTCTGTCATTTGGAAACTGTTGTGGTGCTGTTAAAATGAGAAGGTTTTTGTATTTCTAAGGAGGTCACAGAAAGACTTTTTCCCCTTTCCAGAATTCTCCAAGAAAAACCTAACACTTAAAGTCTTAATGCTTTTCTGGCTTTGAGATTAAAATTGAGCTATTGAACTATTTTTGTCTTGCTAGGAGAGCAACTTTGCAGAGCCTTTTCTCTATATCTAATGCAGGCACCCTTGGAAGAGTTTTTGCCTATTATGTTAGCAGTTATTTCATATTATTTTTACCTGCCATCCATTGCTGAAGTGGGCACTGCCATAGAAACGTTGACCTCCACAGGTTTTTGCTTTGTTCTTGTAGAAACTCATTCCTAACAGACCCTGTTGTTTTGGGTTTTTTTTTCTTTTTTTGGGGGGGCAGAGAGGGTTGTGGTGTTTCATTTGTTTGTTTGGGTTTTTTTGCTTTTGGTTTTTTTTGTGGGCTTGGGAGGGGTTTTTTGGTTTGGTGGTTTTGTTTGTTTTTTGCTTTTGGGGTCAGTGCGTGTTTCTCTCTTTTTTTTTTTTTTTTTTAAATCTGGATTCTAGTCTTTGGATTTGACATTGTGATTGTATTTCAGGTTTTGAACACTTGACAATAAGACAGCTCTGTCATCCTTTTTTAAGTTCCAAGCAGCTAGTTCTCAAGAACTTAGTAGCTGTGCTTATTAGCTCTTAGTTGTAGTTCAGCAGGTTTTTCCTTTTTTATTTGCTTTAAAGAAAATTGCAGAAGGGAGCAGACAACATAGCAGGAGATACATCTTCTAGGAATCTGGGTTTCCCTGAACATACGTACTGTTCATCAAGAGGTTGAATCTGTAATTTCATTTGCACACTTCCCATTGGGGACCATCTCCCCTTCTGGGCCTGTCTATTTGTACAAGGAAATTCTGTCTTGCCATTCCTGAAGTGTACTGTTTATTATTATTATTTTGCTCTGTACTTGTTTATTTTACCTCTCCTCTAATGACCACACACTCATTCTGGGAAGGAGCAAGTAAACATACGTCTGAGCTTTGACCACACCTGTAATGTGGCTGCCAAACCATTGAGGAGCAAGACTTGCTATGGTAGTGCAGTTTGAACCTTCTAGGCTGTGATCAATGGTTGGAGATCCTGTATATGGCTATAACATGGTAATTCAGCTTAGTTTACTGCAGTATGGAACCCTTGTGATAAGATCCAGAAGTTCCACTAATGCAAACAGGATAGACGTTGCACCAGACAGCACAGGTACTTTTGAATAGGATTTTGTAGAATGGCAAATTAACTCCACTGACAGGATGCTTATGTTATGAGACTTCATAGTCTATTGCAGTTATGTGGCGATACATGGTTTTAGGAAAGGTTTGTATAGTGAAGGAATACTTGGATACCAAATAACTGCTCCTGTCTCTTCTGGGTTTTTTCTTCCTTGTATTTTTTCCTTTCAGTTTTCTTAGCACAGTAGGTTGCTACTCCTCTCTCAAGATTTTACAGCACTGTATTCAGAGACAATTAAAGAGCATTATAATGTTGCTGAAGAGCAAATGGGGAATTTATGGAAGTGGTACTTGTAGATGATCAAATGTACTTTCAAAATTTTTATTATCTTTGCTTCTGCTACCCTATGACATTGCGTGCTAATGGAGACACGTGAGTGCTTCCTGCCAAATTCAGAGTTGAAAATCACCTTAGCAGCAGACAACTGACAATGATCTCTGAGTAAATCATAGTATTGTAAACGCATGGTGTGGAAATCGTCTTGCCTGTCAACTCATGTCAGCACAAATGAAAGTTTGTTCAGTTGCATTGTCTTCTCCAGCCATGGAGATTTGCAGTTCTCTTGCTAGCAAACAAAAGCCTCATTCCATACAAATGAAAAGCTGATTGACTTTTGGAAATGGACACAAACTTTCTTTCTTCTCCCAGGTGGATCCGTTTCACACTTTATTTGGAATTGCTGGATTATCTTTATTAGGAGAAGAACAAATTAAGGCCGTCAATCCCGTCTTCTGTATGCCAGAAGATGTCCTTCGAAGAATAAACGTACAGCCTGAGCTTGTGAGCTAAGACTTGTAGAGACAAAAGGTTGATATACCCAGTTGCTTTGGTTTTACTGATTTAAGTAATCTCATCTCTGAAACTCTTAGCATATTCTTTGAGATGTGTTTACATTACAAAAGTAAAGCAATAGCTTTACCGTGGGCTTTGTCACTTTGTAAACTGTATCAGAACAGGCTTGCTCTAATAATCTGAGTGTAACATGTTCTTTGGTTGTATATAAGAGATATAGAAACATTTCTAATCTGTATCTAAATATATGGGCCTTTGCATTTTTTTAAATAATCAAGTCAAAGCAATAGTGTGAATGCTTAATTTTGTATTCCTGTGATATCAATCATGCTAGCATCTGTCTTTACACAAGCGTGTTTTGATGGTGGATCACACAAAGCACTTTAAAAGAATATGAAAAAAAAAAACCCCAAACAAAAACCCTACTTAAGCCATGCACTTAATGCCACACACTTGTATATTTAATTCTTCCTGTTTATGTTTGCCATCACTTTTATGTATTGAGAAATGAGCTTTTTCTTCTGATAGTAATTGATACCAGTGAAAAAAAAAATTATGGTCCCATTAAGTATGTAAATGTCTTCATTTATGGATGAGTCCCTTAGGCAAAATTTTGCTGATATTTGAAATAGAGCATATCTTGAGTATGTATAGTGACACTTGCTAACATTAAGCATTCTAGAGAAGGTCTCTATAGGACAGTAACTTGTAACTGAATATGAAGTTGATCCTAAATTTGTTGCTGGGTTGAAATCCTGCTTTCGTAGCTTTTAAGACAATAATTGCCAACACTTGATTATGGTGTAATTGAGAATAAAACTAGCCATGGAAAATACTTGTTCTCTGAAGGATGAAGTCCTCTTTGTCTTCACAGAAGCCCTAAAATTGCCTCTTAATTTACATTCCACACACCCTGGCTAAGACTGAATGGTATTTCAGTTGAAATACACAGTAAAAGGTAATCGTGAAGAGGAGGAAATCTTTGACTGTACTTATGCTTGAGGAAGGTCTAAAGTTGTTTCAAACAGTTTTAAAAGCTAGCTGGTTAGTTTTACCCAGCCTATTCGTGTTAGTAGGGTGTAAGCTAGAACTGGACAAAGTAACTTTTTGGTAGACCTTTACTTGTAGAGAATTTCAAAGTGAGAATGTGTCTTTTGAATGCTCAAGTATTGCTAATGAATTTTTTAAGCCTTCCCTACAGGCTTTCAGATAAGGTAAAAACCTTATTCTCTTTAGCTGTCCACTTGCCTGATGAATTCTTTGGTCAAAGCCTGGAATTAATTTTTTTCAAGGTTTGGAAAAAAGTTACAGTAGGCTTTGTGTTGAGTGTGAGGGAATGAGAGCACTGATCAGGTTTTATCTAACTGTAAAGTTTAACAGAAATTTAAAAATAAGTTTTTCTCATTCCAGGTTACCTTTGCAAGTGCCACTTCTTTTCATCTAAGGAAACACTGTTCAGTACATAGGAATTTGCTGTTTTTTCCATGTTGTGTAGACAAAATAGAATCCTCTTCAGAATTTCTAGTCTAGTATAGACTGAGACACCCTGGGAATTAATATGTGGGTGATACTGCATGACAGTGTAGAACATTTCACTGTAGGTTGAAATCCTATTAATATTATTGGAGTTTTTCTCTGAAGAAGGTCTGATCAACTTCATTTGCTAAGTCAGCTGTGATTTGTAAAGGTCTTATAAGATTATAGGTTAAAAAAGGGGTGAGTATGTGCACAAACTAAAAACTTCTTAAGAATATTCTTCCATTCTTTGCATCAGCTTTTTAAAATACTGTATTTGTAGAAAGAGTCATCACAATTTTTCTTACACAAACAAAATCACCATTTTTGTTAAATGTACTGTGAAAAAAAAACTAGTTGCTCAGTGTGTCTATGTTAAGACTTAGTCATTTTGGTGCAGAATACATTGTTACCATCTACCTCTATTTTGTTAGAAGTACTGATAAGAATTTTTTTCTTAGCTTATGTAGTTAGAAACTTTGCAGTAATTAATCTGCTGTTCTCAGTTGTCAGTTACAGGTCCTTTATTAAAGGCTTTCAGAAATTTGTACTTTCATAATTTTTTTTTTTCCATGGAAATCTTTATATGGTAAAATCCTGACATTATCTTAGTACTTGATCTTAAGTACTGTTGTGTAGCCAGTGTTCCCAGCAATAAATTTTGCAAGAAGCTGTCTGAGAATTTGCGAAAGAATAATGAATAATTCAGGTACATAAAGTTGTGTGTCTGTAGGTATGTTTATTAAAAGAAAATCTGTGTGTGTGTGTGTGTGAAATCAACAGCCATTCTATCACCTTCTAAGAACACGGTCAAGTCCAGAGGTATGGGCTTTATTCCAAAGATGCTGCCTTTCAGTTTTGTTGAGACAGCCTGGTAGGCGAATGCAGCCTTTTGAACTGTGACCATAAGAAAGGAAGGTGGACATTCCTTTTGTTTCTGCTTTTCTTGCCATACACTTAAATTTGTGTCAGAAGAGGAGAGAAGGCCTAACATCAGCTTCAGGAGTCTGAATGCATATGGAAAGCTCAGTGTAGGACTTGAAATTCAGGACAATGGCAGTAACTGGAATTGGTACCTGCTGTCTTCCATCTTTTGCTCTGCAGTGAGACTGAAGTTTCTGATGCTCGAATTTTTAAAGCTGTCTGATGGTGCTCAGTGCTGAGAGCACGTGCCTGTTCTGAGCTAGGAGGCTGGGGGCAATGCCTTTCGGGTGTCAGCTGACAAGCTGCAACTGTTAGAATTTCTCTTGTGAAGCTGAATAGCCATCAAAACTACAACTGTCCTCACAGAGTTGCTGACTTTGGTTTGGAGTGGTTTTTTTAATGCAGAGGTATTAAATTCCAGAGTCAAAATGTTGTCTAGTCAAAATGTTAATTGAAACAGTTTTAGTGGTGTATATTACATGCTAGTATACAAAGCAGCAGTACAGTGTTCTAAAACATGCATAGAAGGACATATATTGAAGACAGCTCTAGATGTAAACAAGCTTTATGGTTTTTATTGGGATCTTTTGGTATCTAAACTCTGGAGCAGGGGGAAAAACCTCTCTGAAGCTCCTGCTGAAACAGGAACATCCTGTTGAAGAATGAATGTGGGACAAAATAAGTTTGAATGCTTTAGTCCTGTTTTAAAGAGCATAGCAGACCCTTTCTTTGCGTTCCGGCATCGCCCTTCTATTGTCCGTCATTGCACATTTATAATGGAACGTGTTGCATGCCCAGCAACTCTCTTTACTGTTGTATCATGTACAGCTGTCCCAGTAACTGCCGCTTTCCAATTTGTTTTCCTTGACCGCAGAACCCCATCTCGGCACGGGGGAAGCGGAGATGCGGCCCTATGCCACCGGCCCGGCGGCGGGCGGGAATGAGCGGAGCGCCAGCCGCTTCCCCCTCCGCCTCGGGAGGCGGCCGCTCGGTCGCGGTGTGGGTGGGAGGCTTGTGCGCATGCGCGGGAGGGCCGCGTTTCCCGCCATTTTGAGAGGAGGCGGTGCTGGCGGTTGTGGGTGCGCCTCAGGCGGTGCCCGCGGTGAGGGGGGCGGCGATGCTGAAGCAGGGCAGCATGGTGGACCCCTGCGGGCGGGCCGCCGCCTCAGAGTCCTGTACGGGCCGCGGCTCTTCCACGTCGGGGTTGGGCGGGCGAGCGGAGCAGGCACCCCGCTATACCTTTGGGCTGCTGCAGACGCCGCGCAGCACGGCGGACAGCACCGGCGACTTTTCCAGCGGCGGGGTGAGGCCGGGTAGCTCGAGCGGGGAAGGCCTCGCTCCCAGCCGGGCTGCCAAGGGTAGCAGGGTGAAGCCGTCGGTTCCCGGAAGAGGAGGTGGGGTGCGACATTGCCATCTCTGCCCGGTTTATCCCTTTCTTTTATCCTGCTGCCCTCTTTGCTTGGGTCGGGCTTCGAAAGAGCTGTTACAAGTGGTACTTGTACTGAGAAGGGGGCAGCAGCATCTCTTCGTCCTAGCGACCTCTTTTTTTTTTTTTTTTTCGTTCAGCCCATCGGAACAATAGTAGTCGTTCCTCGCACTTCCTTAAATAATTTTTTATTATTTTCTTTATGTAATCTTCATAAATGCCACTATATGAGTTCCCTGCTGGGGCCAATAAACTGGTTTGAATTGCAACACAGTATTTGCTTTACTAGCGACCGGAACCACGTTCAGTTGGTTATGGATTTTGGTTTTGTGTTTGGTCTTTTGGTTGGTTGGTTTTGAGGTTTGGTTTTTTTCGGTTTGGTTTGGGTTTTTTGCCCTGGCCTTTGAAATAGTTTTAAGTGCTGTTATGCTTGATGTGCTGTAAGAATGTTGTGGGCCTATAATGTAACACTGCTGTTTGCCATCCTTTACATAAAACTGCTGTTAACGCCAGTCTCCTGGCTCTCCCCTGAGGACGAGACCCCTCAACAGCTCCTGCCTACTGAACATGTGTGCATCAACCAGTTCATAAGACTTGGTCCTACTATCAAAGTCTGTATCTTTGCAGGCAGAAAAAAATGGTTCAAATTGTATTTTTTCAGTGGAAAAACTATCAAAAGAATTGGAAATTCTTTTAATACTTGCTGAAATGCATTCTGAAGTACATACATCTCCATTATGCATAAATTGGCAAGAAAGTAACATGGTTTTGGGTAATGTGTATGATCAGTCATGAATCATTAAAAAAAAAAAACAACAAAGAAACAAAACTTAGAATGCTAATTTGAGTAAGGGATAACTTAAATGTTGGTTTTAAAAAATACCTGTAGATGATTTGGTTCATCTGGTCTTTCAGATTATGCTTTTCCCCATGTTATGCCAGATTCAGAACGCTCTAAGATAATAAATAGCAAAGTCTTGTCTGCCAAACTTCTGAGTGAACTTATGCCAAAATCTAAGCAAATGCTATTTTAAAAAATAATTTACATGCATTGCAATGCTGATTTGTCCACTCTTTTTAAAAAAAATTACAGTCTGAACTAATAATTTTTTTTAGCTGTCACAGTTTTGTAAGATTCAAACAGACAAACAAAAAAACCAAACCAAAAGGAAAAAAACCCAGTACTGTAAATATTTTTGTACCAACCATGAGAAAATGTCATGCAGTTAATGGGTCATCTGAGAGCAATACTGAAGTATTTTGTCTTGTAGATCAGTTTTTAGTGTAATAGAAGGAACAGAAACATTTGGTTTCGCATGTCTCAATACCTGGAATTTTGTAAGTTTTAAGTGGAAAAACTCTTTATATTTTAATTCGTTTTTAATCTTAAGAAGCAATTATCCAAGCTAGATTAAGGATGTGATGTTGTTTTTAGTCATCTCAAGAGAACTGGAAAGAAGTAAAATACTTTAAGTTATCAAAACTAAAGAATGATCTGAGAAAAAGAGATTTTGCAGGACTTAAAAAGGTAGATGAATCTTAAGATACACGTGTAAAAGAAACCGCAGATAACAAAGACGTCCCAGCTTATTGCATGACTTCTAAGAGTTGAACTCCATAAATTCAAAGTGATATCATTCTCAAATGGAGGAATTTTTGCGCATGGTTCTTTGTTTTCTCTTACTGTACTTTTTTAAAAAAGAATGCTCAGCTTTAAAAAAAAAAAAAAAAATTGTCATAAATGTGTGCAGGTTTAGATATAGATTTTAAAACTGATGAGCAAATGCAAGATAGAGCTGACTTACAGCATTCTTTCATAAATCTACAATTCATTAGAATATGAAATTATGCATTGTAAAGTGACTTCTGTTGCATTATTTCAGTCCAACAATGTAAACAAAGAATTTTACTGGCACTGCAAGTAGTGTCATTGTGGAAAATAACCATATTGATACAAGCTTGTTTTCAAAACAGGCTGATTTTTATTTCATTTTATACTTTGGAGAGCTTTTATAGAATGATATTAAAGGTTATTGCTTTAATTGCTATTTCTATTTCCAGTAAGAAGAACAAAGTTTTCTAAGCTATATATTTATATATTGCTTTCTGACTAAGAAATGATTCAAATCTTTTTTTTTTTTTTCCATTTAAATGATAACACAGTTTATTGTGTCTGTTTTCAAAAGTTAATTTTTTTTCCCCCTCCCCTCAGAATCATATTTTGGGGACAAAAGTTCTTATGTAGAAAATGCTAGTACATTGAATCTCACGAGTTCTTCTTCTGTGCGAGGCCTGAATAGCACGTATATAGGAAAAACGCCCCTCTCTTCTGGTAGATCTGTTTGCAGAAGCCATACCCCTCTTATGGGATATTCAGGTAAGATTAATAGCTCTTAAAGGAAGTAGCCCCACTTACATTTCTAACGTTAATTTATTAAACATACTTTATTTTTTAGTGTGATACAGTAAGATACTGAAATATATTCAAAACACAAAACGTAATCTGTTTTGTACTACAGGATGTCTGCCAATGAAAGATGCACCCATAGGGGAAAATACTACTTTAGATATTGAATTGATGTTTTGGTATTGCAACCTCTGGTCACTTACTTGGCATTCATGTGTAAATTATCAGTGAAGTTAGAATTCAGACTTTTTTCAGATTGTCCAAAACTGAATTATTTTTGTGGACATGTTGGTTTGTGTGGCGACTGAACTGAAGAGCCCAAATTTATGCATATTTCTAATCAGTGTTTCTTTTTAGGTTTGTAATGTATTGTATATCACACATCATGATGTCATTCTCAGGTTTCTTGGTGCAAGTTTTATGTATTTTATGTTGGTATCTTCAAAGGTGTAGAACACTAGTTCTTCAGGAGAACACTTGCATAGTAGCTCATTGGGTGTACATTTTGCAGTGCTTCTTACGAACAAAGTTGTGAACAGGGTAATGATGCCTTGTGCCATGTTACGTGTATCTGTGCTCTGGTAGTGCAGAAGTAATGGGATTCAAAGTTCTTTCACAGTCTGACTAATCATTATCAGTTCAGTCTTTAGTGTTCTTGAAGTTATTTACTGGTAATTCTCTGAAGTAATGAAATTATTTTAAAATGTATTAAAAAAAATTAATCTATTCCTGGTAAGAATACAAATTGGCTCTCCACTTGCTACTGAATTGAATTACTGTTTTGCAAAAGGTAAGTAACATGAAGTTTGTCATTTCCTACAGCTGTTGTGATCCACAGTTTTCTTTGTGACTACTCAAGGAATTGAGGAATCAGAGTAACTATGAAGTTGAAATCCACAGACCAGATTTCTCTAGACTTTGTGCAACTTAACAATGAAACAAGCCCACATCTTCAGTTTCCTTTTGATTTTTTTTTTCATTGTGTTGTTTAGCCTGGAGAAAAGGAGGCTGAGGGGAGAACTTAACCTGAAAGGAGGTTGTAGCGAGGTGGGGGTCTGTCTCTTCTCCCGAGTAACAGGCAATAGGACAAGAGGAAGTGGCCTCAAGTTGTGCCAGGGGAGGCTTAGATTGGATATTAGGAAAAATTTCTTCACTGAAAGGGCTGTCAAGCATTGGAACAGGCTGCCCAGGGAACGGGTTGAGTCACCACCCTGGAGGTATTTAAAAGACGTGTAGATGTGGTGCTTAGGGACATGGGTTAGTGGTGGACTTGGCAGTGCTAGGTTAATGGTTGGACTTGATGATCTTAAAGATCTTTTCCAACCTAAATGATTCTGTGATTCTATGGTTCTATGTTTGTGTGTGTGCACATCTATATATTTGTTTATGCTTGCTGTATTGTATGTGACACTCCTTGATCAATCTTGCACTGATCTGTACTGAAGACGGCGTATCCAGAGTATCACATTCTGAAGAGCATTGGTTGGTCACTGTATTTTTTTTTAGTGTGACAAACTGAAAAACTAACCATTTTCCAAATAAAATTTTTGTAATTATCATACCTAAACTAAAATACTTATTAACTTCACCTTTTAGTTGCTTTTAAAGAAGAGTTAATATTGTAATCAGCTGCTGCTGATGGGCCAGGGGTTATTCTGAGTAGAAGATTCATAATAACAATTACATTTTCAGCAGGTCTCAGATGAAACTTTATGTGAATGCTGTTGCTGACATCTTGTGGCCTACAGAACATAGGTAGAATAAATGAAGGTTCAGACTCGGTTGTGTGCAGCATCAAAGATTTTGCTCAAGTGGTAGCCAGTTGCAATTCAAACAGCCTTTTAATATTAAGTTCTTAGATAAACTCTGATTCTGATCTTACCTTTCCCAATCACTAGTAGGATTAGTTTTGATTCTTGGGGTACAAATTGAGTTTACTCAGAGGAAAAGGGCAGGTTTGGTGTATTATGCCTTCTCAGCAGGATTGTTCTGTTTTGAGAATACTCTTATTCCATTGCTTTTTGAGAGCAAATTCTGTGAAGAACAAGGGAAGGTAATGGTGGAAGAGAATGTAAATAATCACTATGAAGCAGGTAGAGTTTATTGGTGTTTCAGATCAGTAAATGTGTCTGTGCTGTTTAGCTGTTTTTGAAAGTGTAAATGGGGCATGCTTTGTATGTGCACATATTTTTCTTACTTTGAATACTTTAGACTTAATGGTTATTTAATAATGCCATCTCTTCTGAACATTAAGTGAATTCAAGAAGGATTAAGTGAAGAATCTGTTCAATTCAGCTATTGTAAGGTTTAGTTTGGCTTTCAGCTGAAAGCTGAGAAGAGTGAGATCATGAAGGGTTTCTCCAGTTTGTCTGAGAAGTTATACCAAAGTGTATGTAGCAGCTGCTTTTCACAGAGTGGTAATTAAATTACTTCGGTATTGCTCAGCAAGTTACACATTTTCTCATTTGAATAGCACGGTCTCACAGTCTTTGGTCACAGATTTCCAAACATAACACATTAGTAGCTTCTCCAATAGAATTTGGAAGAATGTAACACCATTTTGCAAACATGAAGCAAAAATTAGCTGAGACAGCAGAAGAAGCACTGTATACATATTTTTGGTCTTTCATAGATTGAAAGAAGTTCAGTACATGGAGCTAAAATGGCATCACCCCATTAGTTAAATGTCATATTTAGGGAAAACAGTAGTGCTAGAAGACAGTTGGTTTTTAACTCGGTGCTATATAAAGTCCAGTACTGTATGAAGCGGTGTAGGAGGAGTGAGATGAAAGAATGTCCAGTCAACTATACTGCAGTAAGCCATGGTTGAACACAAAATAGCCCCATTTTTGAAATTAGCTATTTGGATCTGAATGACATGAGATTAGGAATCAGAGGTCTATAGAGTTGAGTTTAGGTATAAACGTCAGGTTTATTGTAAGTCTGTAGTACAATCCCAAAGTAGATCTGCTATATTATGTTGGGCAAATTGCTAGAGCAGCTGGGTTGGTGGTTTTATCTACATGGGAAAAGAAAGAGACCTGATAAGAAAATGAGGTTTAGGGTCTTCAGAAAGGAAGACGTGTTAAGGAGCTGTAATCTTTATTTTCAAGCTTAATCTTTTTAAGGGGTGTCTCGGAGAGATACCTGGATATTTGAAGAAGGAAATGAGATCAGTTGAGTTTGTGATGATATTTGGGAAAATTTAAGCCAAACCAATTTTAAGATACTAAAAGTGTTTTTTAAAAAGAAAACACCAAAATGAAAATCAAATTATTTGGTCTCAAGCATACTGTAGATATATATAAATTTATATATTTTAGAATAGTTCAGTAAGTTTAGTGTAAAATCAGATTAAATATATATATATATTTAAAAAAAAAAAAGACATTTGTTTCCCCTAACTTGATGAGATCTAAGCCAGCTCGATCAGAGTTGTGCTTTTTGTGGAATATTAACTTACAGTATCTCTCTGCAATTAATACACCTGATTTTAACTAGCAGTAATAGCTATGAATCGTTTTTAATTTAAAATGGGAAATGTTAATAATAGCCTGCCTTTTGGCATGTACTAAACATCTTTTTTGTTTAGTACAGAGATAGTGACTCAGAAACTGTATTTTCACTTGCTATGTGGTTAGGTCTGACAATCTTAAATGAGTGGATTCAATCAGTCTTACATTAAAAAAGTATGATGTTCATACTTTGGAAAGTGTGCCTTGTCTGTATGGTATGGCAAGTAAAGATTTCAACAACCAGGGTTTCTGATTTTTAAGTTTCATAAATTAAAAGGGCTTTCCATGGATATGGGAATATAAACATATATATCACCTGGAATGTCAAAGTATGATTCTGTGAATGTATAGTAGTGGCTCATAACTGAATATATGCAACTGTTTTACAGTTACATCCTCATCTGCAGTCTCTGCTCATACTGTTGCGTCGGTTATTGTAGCTGTAGTAGAAGGAAGAGGCCTTGCCAGAGGTGAAGTAGGAATGGCCAGTATTGACTTAAAAAATCCTGAGGTGATATTATCACAGTTTGCAGACAATACAACTTATGCCAAGGTATTGTTGCATACTTAATTGCTGTATCCCTTACAGGCTAATTATTGTGACTTTCTTTCTTAAAAAAGCTTATGACTAATGGGAAATTAAATTTTTAGTCTGTAGAAGAAATTTCTCAAAAGTGAAAGTAATGACTTCTAGAAAACGTGCAATGTTGAAAGGACTGCTATTTTCATTACTGTGCCGCAGATTTTAGCTAAAGAGGAAAGAATGTTTTGCAAAAGAAAAATAGCCTTTCTGCAAAAAATACTGTGTTTGAACTATGTGGAAGTGAGATGCCTTGTTTTGAAGAGCATTGGGCAATATGTGGTAGTAGAACTTGCAAATATTTTTCATCAAACAACTCTTGAGGGCAGAACTGCATAAATGGAGGGGAGGGAGGGAGGGTAACTCTAGGGCTAGCTTTGTATGGTGGCATAAATATTCCTTCTCAGTTTGAAATGAAATTCATTCAATTTACAGCCAAGTGTTCTGCCTACCAGCACTGCATACTCTGCGCTAATTTGGAGAGTAATCTCTCTGCTTTATGCAACACCACCATTAATAAAACCTCTTATTTAATGGTGGTCTTCTAGGTATGCATGCTAGAAAATAATGTGGCTTGTAGCATCTTTACAATATTCAAAGAAATAAAAACTAAGTTTAATTAGGAGAATAAGTAGACATGACTCAGAATATAAACAGCTATCAAATCTATTTACTAAAATATATGTTGTATAATGTCATTTTCTTTGATCATTAGTGCTTTTAAAGCTTATCCTGGTCTTGACACAGGTAAGTACATACTGAACCTGGCAGCTGCAGAAATACTTCTGTAATACACAGTACTAAAAATCAAAATCAGATGTGCACCTTGAAAATGTGGGTGCATGAGAAAATGTAGACATTCAGATGACGATGTGGCAACTTAAATAACAATTCACTTAAAGGTTTGAAAGTGAAAAATTGATTTGCTTGTACCTAGAAGAAAAAGTCCCATGTAATCAAAAGAATGGTAAGATGAGAATTCTGCAAGGAAACTTCAGATTATTTTTATGGAAATTGTTTACTAATTTTAATGGTTTCATTAAGATTACAGTTACTTCTAAGAGTAAAAGGCTTTCTTTTTAGCAAGCAGTAGATGTGTTTAGAGTCTCCCCTGTTCTACTGTGTCAGGGTTAAGAACTGTATTATTGTCCCATGAAATTTATCTTTCTCGAACTGAGAAGTATTTTAGCTGCCCAGACTCCTCCCCCAACCCTTTACTTTCAGTTTTGACTTGAATTTAATGATAAAGTACAATTACTTTTAAGTCTCATACTTTGTCTTTAAATTCTGATAACATGACTCTCTTCTCTGTTACTCAGACTTATATCTAAGATACGTTTACATCTTCTATGACCGCCTGTCAGGCCACGGCCAGATTGTTCAGTATTTTCCTCCCTTACTACTCTAAAAGATGGCATTTTTATTTGTACACGTATCTTCCTAATTTTCCATTTAGGTTACGGCGTTCTCCATTCTGTAGGCATACCTGATACTGTATTGACCATCCAGTACAAAAAAAAAAACAAAAAAAAACCCACCACCAACAAAAAAAACCCAAAAATCAAAAAACGGAAGAGCTGCTAGTATTCAGCTACTTTTCCCAAAAGCACTACATGGCCTAGTTTCTTATCTTAGTTTCTAACGCCTTTAACAATGCTGTCTCTCTGCTGATCAGCTGTTTTCTTACAGTGTCACTATCCATGTTTTGCTAGTGATTGATATCAAACTTATTGTATTTTCTTTTTCTTGTGCACCCTTTTATTTTTGAATATTCTGTAAATTAAATCAGTAAAGTTTTCTTGTATTATTTAAGTTCCTCAAAGTTTGCTTTAACTGTGATGCCTCTGAAAAAACTTCGTAATGATTATCAGATATAATGGGTGGCGATAGCTCTCCCTCCCACGCCCCAATACCCTTAGATGATTTATTCTGTGTATTTTTTTTATGCTTGTTCACCTTTCCGTTGTTATCTGTCCCTTCTTTCACATCTTAACTTCTAAGCACGTAAAATATAGTCTGGTTTTCTTCATGTTTCTCCCTTGAGAATTTGTGGATGATGATACAAACGAGTGTAAATGCATAATGATGTTTGTCTTTTCTTATACAGTAAACAAATAGAAAAGCATATAGTGTAGTTTAAATCCCTACAGCAGGTGTGTGTAACATTATCAAAGCAAAACTGGTTTAAATATGCGCGTTTTAAGCCATATTGAAAAAGGTAAGACTGAGATAAATGTTATAAGAGGAGGTTAGAACAAAGTCTAAAACAAGTCTCAATCAAAAGATTATTAATATTCAGCCCTGTTGCATTTCTTTATCTTCCAGACCACCATTAACTTTATAGCTGCAAGCCTAGAAACTGCCATCTCTTGAAAATTGAGTCCTTCTCCCATCATAGCCATGGAATATAGTTTTGGATATTTATCTCTTTCTTTGACGACAAGCATTTTTCTGTGTTTAAATAACACGGGATAGATACCTTTTTTTTTTTTTTTTTTAATTTAGTTCCATGTATATTTATATACCTGTATCTATAGACACAGATAAATTTGACTCATTAGTTTAGAAGTTAGCAGAAAATTTGGTCTTTATTTACAAGACTGGAACTGTGATTTTAAAATACAAGGATTCTGTAATTCTTTGTTGCTGGTTTGTTACCATGTAAAAATATTTTAGATTATATGGGGATTTTTATTTAATTATTTTGATTTTTGTTGTTGTTGTTGTTCAGGTTGTTACAAAACTCAAGATTTTAACACCACTAGAAATAATAATGTCAAATACTGCTTGTGATGCAGGGAACACAACAAAATTGTTCAGTCTAATAAGAGAACATTTCAAGGTAAACTCTTAAATTTCATTCCATATTTTAGAGTTCTTGTTGATCACTTTGCTGATCTGAGAGTTTTCCACAACTTCTAAAACCTTAAATGCAGTCAGATTTTGTGTTTTCTATGATGTTCAGGCCTAATTATACCATGGTAAAGAATAATCTAAATGCAGCTCCAATGCTGCTAGTTTTAATCCTGACAATTATAGAGATAAGTATATTACTGATTAAAGACAAAAGTTTTGTATTTGTGGCATTGAAGTAATTTGAGAATTACTGAACCTAGGAAAGATTCAGAGATGAAAAAATCAAGAATTTTCCTTTGCTCCTTTGTTTCCTCAACCTGATAAATAGACGGGGCTAATGTATCACAGAATAGGGAAAAAGGGCACTAGCAGGGTAAAAGAGGGTGAGATGAACTAATTTATGTAATTTATGAGTATTAAAGCCTCAGAACTTTTAAAAAACTGTATTACTGAATTGCTTCTATGGCTGCACTGCTGATAGCTTCTTCATGAGTCCTCTTCTACTTCCTGACCTCTCTCCTCTTTTTCATACATAAATCACTTGCACATCACACACATTCAGTTACATAGACCTGCATGTCTTTATTCCCTGTTTACCATTGAAGGCTTGATAATGATCCCTTGGGCTTAAACCTTGGCAAGGGAAAACCTTAATTTGAATGTGAGCATCGATCCTAGCATGAAAATAACTCTCCCTCAAAAGTCATTAATTTTAACCAAATTTCCAGGGGAGTGAGAAAACAGCTATGATAGATTAATCCCCAGGTTAAATTCAAAAGTTGGAGTAGCTAATTCTTGAGAGGAAAAGCAATATCCAAGAAAAAGCTTATGTTAATTTCCTAAAAATGGTAGTATGAGCCTTTTCATATGTATTCATTACCAGAGAGAAGGAAAGATGAGTGACAATAGCGTAGCTTGTGCTAATAAGCTAGAACGAATACTTCTAGAGACAGATTGCTGAACCAGTTGATAGATGAATCTGTTGATAGATTTTCTTAGAAACACATACCACTAGAAAAATAGAGAAGTCTGTCTAATGAAAAAATCTGTAACTTTTTCAACTATGTGCTTTTCCCCCCCATCTTCACAGAATGTGACTTTTACAACTGTCCAAAGAAAATACTTCAATGAAACAAAGGGGTTGGAATACATAGAACAATTGTGTGCGTCTGAATTCAGCACCATTTTCATGGAGGTTCAATCAAAGTATGTTTAAATGAGGAAAAAGCATACTGTGTCCAGATAAGGTTTTAACAGCTTTTTACATACTTAGTACACAAGTCTGTGGCTTGTTGCAAAAGTTAGAAAATCATAGAGCTGTTGTTTTATTTTTCCCCTCCAGTGTTTCTGATACATCTAGAAACTTAAATAGAAAGCCCGTTACACATTTTTGGGGGGTTTTTTGGGGTTTTTTTGTTTTCACAACTTTCCACTTTCTCCTTTTCATTCTGTCCTTAAAGATCCAACCTAACAGCTATGATTGACTTTCTTTCTGGCCTCAGCAAATGTTTTCTCTGTATCAACAATTTTAAGTAGTGTTACTTGGTGACCTGGGTCTTCGTTTCAAGCCACATGTAACTACTGAAATATATATGTTCACGATACCAGCTATATAGTGTGGGGTGTCAAGTGTACAGAGACTCAAACATTCATGAATATTTGATTTTCATGCATATATGTGTATTATACATGGGTTAGTGTGTACTTAAAACATACTGCTTTTTCAGTGCTATCAATCCCAGTAGATGTCAAGCAGAAGTGTGAATGTGATTTCTGTAGTGCAGGGCTTGTTTTTATGAAATTCAAATAGCACTATTCAACATTAATTAAAGATTGTTTCTTTCCAAGGTATTACTGTCTTGCAGCTGCTGCAGCTTTGCTAAAATATGTTGAATTTATTCAAAATTCAGTTTATGCTCCTAAATCACTCAAGGTGCGTTTCCAGGGGAGTGAGAAAACAGCTATGATAGATTCATCATCAGCGCAAAATCTTGAACTAGTAATTAATAACAGAGATTCTCGGTAAGAATATTTAAGTTTACAAATTACATTTTTATAGAGTTATATTTCACCAAGTTTCCTTGACGTTTGTGTCAGAGCTGACTATTGTATTTATTTCTGTATGACAGAACTTATATACCATTCAGAGCTTTTAAAAAAACATTTGGACAGAGAAATGCATTACAATTCAGCACAAAATTTCTAGGATAGGAAATCCTACAAGTGAGTTGCGGGAAGAGATGATACATAGCCATATTTATATTGATGTCTATATTTTATTCAAACTTATGATGTTGATGCAAGTTTTCACAGATTGTGGAATGAAAGAGGCAACATTTCTGCAAGAAGTTACTTACGTTGGATTAAAATGCCTAGGTTTTATTCATTTTACACAAGCTAAACACTCCAGGCTTGAAAGGCTGTTTTGTTTTCCTTTAGTTCTAAGGAATAGTGGCAAGCAAAGTAATTTCTATAATGATGGTCACATGCAATGTGGTACTTGATTGCATGGTAGTTCTCCACAATGAAAACAATGCTTGGAGCACTTCCTTCACCAGGAGTTACTTGTCTTCTAGGCAGAAGAAGCTGCAAGGCTTACCTTCTCAAGACTGTTATGCTTCTGGTTATAAAGCGAAAGACTTTGAACTTGCACTTTGCTGCCTGCCAAGTTCTGAGATCCACCTCTGTTTAGAAGTCCACTCATCACCCTGATATAGAAAGGGGAGCCTGGAGATTCTTCACTCTCCAAGTATTACTCGTAAGAGCTTTCCACTTGGAGAGATGTCATAGCATCATAGAATGGCTTGGATTGGAAGGGACCTTTAAAGATCATCTAGTTCCAACCTCCCTGCTGTTGGCGAGAACATCCTTGACTAGATCAATCATCCTTACCCTTCTGCCACTGCTCTTTTTCTTTTCTTTTTTGAAATTTTTGTCGGGATCGCAGAGTACACAGATGTGTTCTTCAGAAGTGGGAGATAACTATAGTTTCTGCTCATCTGTTGTGCACTGCCCCCAGTTCCTCCTTGTTTGCTCTGTTGCTTCATATGTAACTGCAGGAGCCATCCACTCTAAGATTGGTACCCTCAGAGCAATATTTTGCCAAAAGCTGCTCCTAATTCCACAGATGGTTTTGAGGAGGAGGAGGTCACAGGAGGAACTGAGCAACAGTAAACTGCTTTAAGATTTTTTTTTTTTTTTTTAGCATTATTGCTGCAGAATTTTTGCTGACCCAGTAACAAGTTTGAATCAGACCACACACAGCTATTTTCATTACATAGATCTTACCGCTAAAGCCTGGTTATATATCTTTGTATCAGATATTAACAGGTAAAAGTTAATAGTACAGGCACACACCAGAAACACCTAAATTGAGTTCTTATGCCAGTACTAATTCTGGAGGGGCTTGTCTCTCTTCATTTACTGTATACAGAAATGAACCATCAATTGCTTAAAGGTAGGCAGTGTGGATATTATCCCAAATGTAGAGTTCCCCTTAAGTGTTGTCATGAGTTGCATCTTATGGTAAATATGTTCTTAATAAAACTGGCTTTGAATTTTTCCCCTTTTTTAATTCTCTTGACTATTGCTTTGTTCTTTTATACCATAGTACAGAAACTCCTGAAATACCATCTCTCTATCTTTATGCTGTTTGTTTTGTATACTTGTATCAGATTTCTTCCTATTCAAGTTCTGTTTTCAATCAATATGTTTATATGGCCCCAGTGTTTTCACTGGCCTTCTTTCAAGCCAGTAGCACTGAAGGTTTCTTGTTTCTAAAACTGTTAAGGTGTGTACTAGTTGTAAATATTGTAGACTGTTTATTTTAAAGATACAATCAACCCTTAAGTGTGAGGCCCTGGGATGTGTAACACGAAAAAGCCATGAACATGAAAACAATATTTAGAAATCATAAGCATGTTATTTTTCTCCTGTATTGACTGTCAGTCCTTTAAAAAAATAAAATCAAAGCTTATTTCTCTCTTGGACTCCTAAGTATTTTAAAACATTTTCAGAAAGGTATTTTAGTGAAAATGTTCTGATTAGTATTTGATCTCAGATTATAATTTGTCTCCTTTTGTAGCGTTTGTTTGTTTTTAATTAGTTCAATTGAGAGGAAAAATATGAACTTGAACTACTGCAGTAGGAATGGAATACTACTACAAAAAATTAGAAAAATATGGAGTACAAATGTATCTCTATACTTTGGAAAATGATATAATGAGGACTAATATTAAATTACCTGACTTTCTAAACTGCTGTAGTTCATATAATATACATGGCAAATAGAGAGGTACTAAGCATCCCAAAAGCATGCCTCAAATTTGTAGGATACTCTTACCTGGAAATATCACTTGACATTTACCATCTTTATTTTTGTGAGTGTATTCTTCACATCTGTTTTGTTTTCAAAGGAATGGTCACACGCTTTTTGGCATCCTAAATTACACTAAAACTCCAGGTGGAAGTAGAAGACTTAGATCCAATATCCTGGAGCCACTAGTTGATGCCGAAACAATTAACACGAGACTGGACTGTGTTCAGGAATTACTCCAGGATGAGGAGCTCTTTTTTGGTCTTCAAGCAGGTAGTAGTTTATTTTTTAATACATAGTATTATATTTCTTTTTAAACATTTTTTCTAATCTATGAAAGTATACAGTGTGACTCAATATGTTTGAAAAGTATTTTTTTAATGATTTGTTTGGTGACACTTATATAGTGGACACTTAATTTTTGAAGTAATCTTCATTATGATAGTGATATTTTTCTCAAGTATTTTGCTAAGAAAAGTTAATTTATCTGATAAAGTGGATAGAAGTCAGTGAGCCAATAGCTTTTTCAAACAATTTGAGTTTGTCCTCTTTACTTCTATGGCTAGATACGCACTATGTTGGAAGTATACAAATACGCATAATGTATATATTAAAACCAAATAAAGGCATCGCTGATGTAGTATTTGTTGTGTATGCATATCTTTTTCTGTTGCTCCATAAAACATAGTGGTCCAGACAAATGTAAAAAAAAAAAACCAACAATACCAGAGTATGAGTTAGTCCACCTGAAGTTGGATTGTGTAATCTTAATCGTTATCACAAGAGAAATATGATTCAACCTAATAAAGAATATTGCTGAATTGATATGTCCACCTCTACAATTATCACTGCATGCTTAGGTGTAGTAAGTATAGCTATGACAAAATAATGTAGATAGCTATTTTTAACCTGCTTTTTTCCCTAGTAAATAATTTTTGAAGATAGAATGAAAGAAAAAGATTAGCATAAGTATCACTAAGTAATTATGTGCATTAAAAAAAAAGATTTTATTACAATTTCAGTTCAGTTTCTGATCTGTTTACTTTTGTTTTACAGTTATCTCAAAATTCCTGGATACAGAACAACTACTTTCAGTTTTGGTACAAATTCCAAAGCAGGATACAGTATGTTTTGAAATATACCTTAGATGATCAGTTATCTGGCTATAACATGCAATATATAAATGTGATATCTAGAAATAAGCATGATATGATAAGAAAAAGTCTGTACCTTAAAAAGACATGGAATATTGTTATCGTAGATGGAGAATGTATCTTTACAGCAGTAGAAGATTCTCATAGGAGAATGTTAGAAAAATTTGGGTTTGCTTCAATATTGCATTTATCTTAATTTATGCAAATTGACTTCCAAAAATGTTTACTTTTTCATCACTCCCCACCTTTATTCTTCATAAGTGTACATCCTATTCAACAGTACTGGAATGAGAGAGAGGAATTTTCGTCACATCAGCATAAAAGGAAAAAGTGTATAACAAATTTACTCTCTTGGTTTTGGAGGTTAATGCAATTTTTGATAGCCTAAAGAAAATTAAGCATCTTTCTTACTAGAAATTAAATAATTTCTTAGTTTTCATGTAAGACAAATTAATAGAAGTCAGTGTTTATTGCCTGAAAAATTATTTTGAAAAAGGCTCTTAAGAAGCACTCTGACTTTGCTCAGCTGTGCTTGTAATACAGACAAACTTAAATCTGTATTCAATTACTAAGTCAATTGTGTAAACATACAAAGCCAGAAGTGGGACTTACCTGTTCATTTCCAAGATACAGACATATAAGCTAAGCGCAACTTTTTCATGCAGGAGTTAAGTGTTTCCTCTGAACAACAACCACCTGACAGAAAACAATATACTTGCTTCCACAGCATAAGCAGTACCAAATGAGACGGAAGTTTCCGTTACACTGACTGTTCTCATAAGCAGAGAACCTTACGTCTCAAGCACAGAGAGAGAGAGATCTAGGTTATGAATACCGTCTGGAAGTCCCTTCTGCATCCAGTTCTCAACTTGACCCATGCTTCTCTGTTAACCTTTGAATGCAAGGAATAAGTAATGTCTTGGAGAACTGATTACTCTTAAGTTTTCTCAGGGTCCTGTGTTGTGGATTAAAAGAGTGCCCTGCTCTTATCTGTTACCTTAAATCACACATTTTACAAGGCGGACCAAAATGAAATGCAGATAAAAGCATTTATTCATAGAAGCATAACTAGACAATAAAGCTATAAATGCTTACAACAACATAGTTCAGTTGAAAGACAAGCAGTACTTTATCTGCTTATGTGAAGGCTTCAGCATTAAGGTATTTTATCCCTTATCCACTTGACAGTGGCAGCCATGGTTTCAGTCTGCGTGAGCACCTTAGGCCTCATGTTGCATCCATTAGAGTGCATTCAGGAACTTGACCAACAGAGAAGGCTTCCGTGACAGATCACCTTTGGGAGAATTACTGAATATACCTTCAGATTCAAGTTCCTTAGAACCCTGCTTTCCTCCTCAGTATTTGTAGCGAATTTCCCCTTTGAAGTCTTCTAGGAGCTCAAGACAGATTTAATCTTTTGCCTTGAAACTCATGCTGTAACATTTTTAACCAGGAGATAGTTGTGATTAATTAAGGTTTCTCTTCCTTCAGTGTGCTAATGTGTCATTGTTAGATGGGAGGTCAACTCCTGTTCTTGGCTATTTTGTAAACAAAAATTGCTGAAGGGGATATAAAAGCTCTCTCCCCACTAGTGACTATTAACATGTTTCAAAGAAATTTTTTTTTTTTTTCATCAGTCTCTGACTTGTATATCAATCTGTACGTTAACACATGCAATACAGGTATCAAAACAGGTTAAATACCTGTAGCTTACTACTGGATCTCGATTGAGACCAGACACAACGGTTAACCATAGTGAGCTTGACATTACTGAACCTCAACTTTTTTCTACTAAGCATATTTTAACCATTCCATTATAAGTTATATTTGCCTACTGTACTTGAGTAGGATATTTCTGCCAATGCTTTTGAAGCTTACACTTGCCTGTGTTTATGCTGGTATGCCAGCACCATAGATATTTAACAACTCTTTCACCTCTCAGTGTCTTCTCACGTGCTGACTTACCTGCTTAGATAAATTACTTGTCTAATGCCACTTAAAGAAACCAGGTGCAGACTCCAGCAGAACTGTAATAAGTGCAGACAAATTTCTTTAATGACATACCCAAAAAGCTGAATGTTTATTGCTCCCAGGCTTCCTTGTAGAGATCTGTAACATGAATGAAAGATCAGCTGTATGACTAAAACTGTCATACTGGATGCCTTTATGTATACATAGGATCATGTACACCAAACTTTAACTGCAGTGTTTTGAATCTTGACTGCCTCCAATATAGCAGAGCTTTCTATTTGTGCAACAGACATTTTCATTCAAGTGCTAACTCAGTTGCTTTAATCAAAGGCTAGATTAACCCATTCAGTATGTTTCACTGCCACTCCCCATAAAAATTTTCATTGCAAAATGTTCCACCAGTCAATAGATGAGGTGCTTATCTGAAAAGCCTTGTTTCAGTCACTAGAAGTGTGAGTGGTATTTTCAACATGAGCATTCTGTCATTGTAAGGAGAACCATCAACTGACAATCTTGCTGAGATGTGTTACTTGAAAAATGATGTCATTGGTGAAATCAAGTATTTCCTCTTACAAAATCTGCATATATAAGCAAATTAAAGGTATCTGGACAAAAAAAACCCAAAAACAACAGGTTTCCTTAGAAGACCCTCTTGCCTCAATCATGAAGGATCCTTAGAAGTTGGATCAACATCCAACTTTTGGTGGAAATGAGGACCACCTGCTCTGGATTACTTGGTCACCCATCTGAAGAACAAATTCAATAGATTCTGTGCCTGTTGAAGTTCCAGGTATGTGACAGATGGATTCATTTTCTCACAGGGAGAAGGTACCAATATTTTTAGTTTAAATGAATTTCCAGGAAATAGAAAAGTTAAACTAGGGCTGATCCACTGACACAGCACTTAAATCTGTAGGACTTAAGTCTCTAGCACAAAACCAAAGTCAACCACTTCTCTGAATTGTCATGCTTTACATACCAGAGCGACTGTGGACAAATTAATTTCAGATGCTGTAAAGGATAGGCTTGCATTTTAGTTATTAATGGATCATAAAGAAGTAACATTATGTAGAAGAGTTATCGACTATGGTTGTATTCATTCATTTTCTCCCTTTGACCCTAAAGTGCAGCAGGTACAAAGATCCAGTTTTAACACCAGTTCAGTTAAAGTTCCTATAAGAACTATTTTAGCAAAGGCACATTCCATTACAAGATACCAGTTCTTCACATATGACCCTATCGGTCCTTTTGATGTCCGATTCCATTGTGGGACTTGGACCCCACGTTTATTTGCAGATTCTGATTCTTCCATTCATACATTTTGCATTGTTTAGTCCTATCTTTTACAGAAAAAAACTTTATATAGAAGGTAAGATAAGGCAAGAGATGCCCTCTACCACAAGAGTGAAGAGTTATCATATACGAATGAAAAGAGATTTCACACAGGGTCATACACCTATGTTCATGTAGAAAACTGACACTAGGTTTTCTAAGAAACGAAACAATGTGCTTATCTATGTTAGTTTCTTAAAATCCTCTCTCACAGTGTATATGTACTGCATATGCTATGTGGTACATATGCTGTGCCCTAATAGCAGCAGCAAAATTCTTTATGATAAAGATCAATGGAGCATACAAAACAAGGTAGAATGTGTATGTGGACAAAACATTTTGAAGAGCAGTCATTATTGCAAGCAAAATTTTTAAACGTACTGGATTTTTTTTTAATTACATGGGCAGATGTTTAAGGATATAAATACATTAACCAAAGATAAGTCAACAAAATTGGGTTATGTTGTGTTTAACAGCATTTATGAAAAGGGCTGTGCTTCTTAATTATGATGCGTAATGTATTCACTTTGAAAGAGTCTACAAGCTGTGTATAGCTTGTATAGAGCTATGTATACGTAGAAGATTCAAAGTTTTCATGGCTTGGGTTAGAGTGTTCTCAGAGTCAATTGTTATCAGTGCAGACATGAAAATATTAGTTACTGAGGGGCAAACTATCACGGTAGGCAATGTAAAATGTAGGTAGACATTTTTTATGCAGTTATGCATCAAGTTGTCAAAGTGAGCTTAAAGTATTTTAGCAGTTTTCATTAAAAGTATAAACCTGTTACAGTTAACAGTACGCGTTCTGCTAGTTCGTAAGTACTTTTTTAAACAGGCAGACATACAAATAGCTCCAATATTTGTAAAACTTTTCAACAGGTTAAAACTGCTGAATCAAAAATAACTAATTTAATCTACCTGAAGCATACTCTAGAACTTGTGGAGCCTCTAAAAGTAAGCTGTTGTTGTCATTTTTTTTGTAAAGTACAGACTGTTTTGTCCTTATTTTTATACAGTGCAGTTTGTTAAATTTCATAGAATATCTCAAGTTGGAAGGGACCAATAAGGATCATTGAGTACAAAAAAAATTATTTTACTTTATATCTTGCATAACGCAATACCGCCAACTTAATCTGTTAATTCTTAAGCCAATTGAAAATACGCATTTGAGTCTAATACTCTTTAAGAACTGGATTCCTACCATTACCCAAGTAATTGATTTTATAACAAACATTTAACTGAAACTCCTGCTCAGATTCTGTAAGCTGCTTATGCAACTGCTAGTAAGCCTCAGTGACTCTTAAGAACGTTCAGTCCTTTAAAAGGGCTACAAAACAGAAGTAACTGTTCATGTCCATATTTTAATCTTCAACAGGCTGCTTTAAGAAGCTGTAACACACCACTGCTAAAGGCTTATTGCAATTCCCTTGAAGATACAAGGTGTGTATTATAATATTTTAGCTAGTGTGTTAGAAACTCTCATCTTTCTTAAGAATGTATGATTAAAGATGTTGCATCTTTGCTTATTTGTAGTTACAGGTATCACTCAATTCTTTTGCCTAAAAGCTGATTTTAATTGTCAAAAATTCTGATTTTCAACTAACAAACGAATGCAGGTGTTGTGGTCTAACCCCAGCCAGTAACTAAGCACCACACAGCCCTCACTCACTCCCTCCCTCACAGTGGGATGGAGGAGAGAATCAGAAAAAACAAGTAAAACTCATGGGTTGAGATAAGAACAGTTTAGGAAGAACAGAAAGGAAGAAACTAACAATGATAATAATAACAATAGTAAAATGACAATAATAATAAAAGGAATTGGAATATACAGAACAAGTGATGCACAATGCAGTTGCTCACCACTCACTGACTGATGCCCAGTTAGTTCCTAAGCAGCAATCCCCCCAGGCCCACTCCCCTCAGTTTATATACTGGGCATGACATCACATGGTATGGAATACCCCTTTGGCCAGTTTGGGTCAGCTGCCCTGGCTGTGTCTGCTCCCAACTTCTTGTGGCCCTCCAGCCTTCTTGCTGGCTGGGCATGAGAAGCTGAAAAATCCTTGACTTGGCCTAAACATCACTTAGCAACAACTGAAAACATCAGTGTGTTATCAACATTCGTCTCATACTGAAACCAAAATATAACACTATACCAGCTACTAGAAAGAAAATTAACTCTATCCCAGCCAAAACCAGGACAACAGGGAAAAAAGAAAACCAGAAAGTTAGCTATGATACTGCAGTTGCTGATGAACTGCACTCCATTAGAAATAATTCTGAAAAGGCTGAAGTAGTGGTTTCCTAGAGTCCCTATAATAGTGCAAAAACCAACTGTTGCCTGTGTATTTGAGATATAATTTCTATCTCCCAAAGATTTGAATGATATCTTTGGTCATACTTCATTCTGAGGTGAAAATAGACATGAAATTTAGTGTTTGGTTTTAACAGTAGAGAACTGTTTCAATTATGTGTAATACTCTTATTTGTAATTTTGGGATGATATTGCAAATAAAAATCATAAAGTATTATGTAGCTAATTAGCGATACAACTAATATTGCAGATTCCAAATTATACTTGAAAAGATTACAACTGTAATTAATGATGATACAAGGTACACAAAAGGATGTCTGAGTATGAGGACCCAGAAATGTTATGCTGTTAAGCCTAACATCAATGAATTCCTTGACATAGCTCGTAGAACATACACAGAAATTGTTGATGACATAGCAGGTATTTCTAAACCAAGATTTTTATTTATTTGGAGTTCAAAGTATGTTGCACCTGGCATCTAGAAGCCATGTAATCATATGTATTGTAACCTTCTCGTTTGTAAAAAGTATTTCGTATTAGTATAAACTGATTGTCACTGATAAGTAACTGAAGTAACTTTTGAGATAGATATTGAGATTCTCCTTTTGTAGATAAAAACTCAGTTTTATTTTAATGAAGTTGAACTACGTTGTGATTCCTGTATTTAAAACTCTGTTGCTCCTTATCCTCTAGAAGTACAAAACAGTTAAAGTAACGTAACAGAATTAATCCAACTAAAACATTCTGCATAAACCATGTAAATCTTTGTTTTAGCTTCTCTGACTTCTTTGTTCTTTATATTTTAAGCAGTCTTGATCTATCCGTGGACTACTTTTTAGCCAAGCTACTAAGAGTTGGAAAATACGAACAAAAGGAATTTAACATAATGTCTGTTACTGTGTTTTAGTAACCTTCTTGTTTATCATGAAGTCAAAATAGAAGAAAAAAGATTATCTTCTGGAATGGATCTCCTTTTTCTTAGTATAAAATGTTGATTTCTAGCTAAAGGACCACCTTCTTATTTTACAATATAATTGGAAACTTAAAAGAACATCAGAAACTTTAGCATCTGTCATATATTGTGAGCTTCCTGTTTCCTTCTAGTTTTACATTCCACGCAGTACACAGTGAAAAGAACAGATGCTATTGTTTTTTATTTCCTAAACCTTCCAAAATTTGGTAGCTGCTAGGATTCCAGAATGTGTGCACAGATGTGTTCCCCTTGCCCATTTTCACTGTAGCCCACATACTTGCAGAAGGGATTCTTCTCTCTTTGCCTCTCTACTGGATTAAACTCTAAATGACTCCAAGACGGAAATACTGATGTAATCTACCTGGACTTCTGTAAGCTCTTTGATATGGTCCTCCACAACATCCTTGTTGCTAAATTGGAGGGAGATGGGTTTGACAAAGGAATGAGAGATGGATATGAGATGGATAAGGAATTGGCTGGATGGCTGCATCCAAAGAGTTACAGTCAATGGCTCAATGTCCAAGTGGAAACCAGTAACAAGTGGTGTCCCTCAAGGGTCTGTACTAGGACCAATACTATTTAATATCTTCATCAATGACATAGACAGTGGGATTGAGTGCACCCTCAGCAAATTTGCAGACAAGACCAAGCTGAGTGGTGCAGCTGATTTGCTAGAGGAAGGGGATGCCATCCAGAGGGACCATGATAGGCTTGAGGAGTGCACCTCTGTGAACCTCTTGCAAGTCCAACAAGGCCAAGTTGCAAGGTCCTGCACCTAGGGTCAGCACAATCCCCAGTATCAGTGTAGGCTGGAGGATGAATAGATTGCAAAGAAGGTCTTGGGGATACTGGTGGACAAAAAATTGGACATGAGCTGGCAATGTGTGCTTGCAGCCCAGAAAGCCAATTGTATCCTGGCCTACCTAAAAAGAAGCATGGCCAGCAGGTCGAGGGAAGTGATTCTCCCCCTCTAGTCTGCTCTGGTGAGACCCTGCCCGGAGTACTGCATCCAGCTCTGGGGTCTCCAGCACAAGGACATGGACCTGTAGAGTGGGTCCAGAGGAGGGCCACAAAACTGGTCAGAGGGCTGGAACACCTCTCCTGTGAAGAAAGGCTGTGAGAGTTGGGGTTGTTAAGCCTGGAGAAGAGAAGGCTCCAGGGAGACTTTATTATGGCCTTTCAATATATAGAGGGGTTTATAAGATGGAGAAAGACCTTTTTTACCAAAGCCTATATTGACAGGACAAGGGGCAATGCTTTTAAACTGAAAGAGAGTAGATTTAAGTTCAACCTAAGGAAGAAATTTTTTGTGATGAGGGTGGTGAGGCATTGGAACGGGTTGCCCAGAGAAGCTGAGGATGCCCCATCATTGGAAGTGTTCACGGGCAGGCTGGGTGTGGCTTAGAGCAACCAGATCTGGTGAAAGATGTCCCTGCCCATGAAAGTGGGGGTTGGACTAGATGATCTTTAAAGGTCCCTTCCAACCTAAACCGTTCTGTGATTCAATATCCAGAACGTCCTAAGTTGCTAGTCTATGTTGTGAATGGTTAGAACATGAGAGTGGACAAGCTTAGAGCAATGAGCAGCAGGGAAGTGCTGCTAAGTAGCTCCATCCTTTCTTCTCACAGGAGTACTACACTATTACCCTCTTTGCAGTATTCAGAATTCGCATGATTTAACCATATATATTCTTCTATCATCTAACAGTTTCCTCCATGTGGTATCTTCTCAGCTAGGAACAGGTGGATTTAAGGGGGGGCGATTACAAATGTAAAGCATTACCCTGAGCCTGAGGAAAGAAGATTGCTTAGAATCATGGACTGGTTAAAAACTGAGAGTCCCTAGTCTACAGTTCATATTCTGTCTACTGATTAGACACTGACACTAAGTGCTTGAGCAAACTTTCCTTTCCATAATTAGGCCCACCTGGGAGTTGGTCAAATGCATGAACTGTCTTGAAAGAACACACGAATTTATCTGATTTTTTCCCCAATAGCTTTATACAGCCAGATTTGTTACATTAATACGTTACTTAAATAACTCCCTGGAGACCCACTTCTAAGGTTTCTTGTCATATTACTTACCTGAGACATTCAACACCTATAAATCACATTAACAGTATGCGTCTTTGTATCAACACAAACGTGTATGTGTGGCATGCATGTGCATGTATGTAATTTGGGTCGAATCTTTATTTGTGGTATGTAGGTATGATAACACAACTTGCAGAAAAGTACAACCTACCATTGAAAACAAGTTTCAGCTCTACTCGTGGATTTTTTATCCAGATGAATGTTGATTGTTCAACATTACCCAATGGCCAACTTCCTTCAGAATTTACAAAGGTATCTGTACTAGATATGTTTTTTCATAATATGTTTGTATACTTAATGTATATGAAATGTTTAGGACATGAATAAAGTACACATTATACAGTAATTTAAGCAACAATTAAAATAATTTCAGTGAAGATATCTAGAAGTAAATGAAGGTATAATTGGTATGTTTTTATAACTGCCCTATTTCTAGTTATACTTAATGTAGTCAGCAGTGTGCAATTACATACAATTACATTGTGTGTAAATATAAAGTCATATATCTTGCTGATAACTCCATTCTTTTATATGGATTTTTCATAGAAATCTATATGGGAAAAATGAAACCAGGCACTGTTTTTCTGCTTTTTCCCCCCCGTATTGTTACTGGTTTTCTTTTTAGAAACTATTTTTGTTTCTGATAATATGGCAAGTTCTTATTGTTGGTTTGAATTCCCTGTAGATCACTAAAATGAAAAACACATATAGCTTCACTTCAGCAGATTTAATAAAAATGAATGAAAGATGTCAGGAGTCCTTGAGAGAAATATATCACATGACCTACTTGTAAGACCATTTAAAACTATTTAATATTTGCTAACTACATTTGTTTTGTCCAGTTAACAGCTAATTATGTGTTTTCTTAAAGCTATATTTCTGTTAAGTTATGGCTACTTACAGATATAATTCAAAGTGAAACCGATTAAGTGTACTTCCTGCGACAAAAAAAACCCCACAAAGTGTGTATTGTATTAAAGGTCATTAAAAATAGATAGGCATTTATTAATAAGGGTGGCCGTCATATTTGCTAAATTTTTATGAGTGAATTATCTACACAAAATGACACAATGAATGCATTAGTTTTGTAATACAGAATCATTACTTCTAATAATTTCCTTGCATTTACAGTAGAACTGTATATTTCTGTATTTTGTTGTTGCTGCATGTCATGTTGCTCTGCTGTCTATTTCAGAAGACTTACTAGTGTAATGTTGCATGTCCCTTTAATGCAAATTCTTTCTAGAAACCGTGTGGGGTTTCTATTAACATGAAGGCCTAAGGGAGTTCGAGTCACATTTGATGTGTTAATAAAACATACTTGATTGCATAGCTATATTTTTAGTTCATTTTCTTTGTGAAGCTTTCTTATGAGCTGTTGGTATTTGAGCTGTGTCTTGTGTCTGATAGCAGAATTTGATCTGAGATGATGGTATAAGATCTTAAATTGCTTCCAAGAAATTTATACATTTGCTTGCTTCTGGCAGAGATGATTGCATTTTATGAGTAACCTCCTATCCTAATATATGCAGTATGAACTTTATTAACTTGCTTTATTTCTGTAAGTTGTATAAAGTGACAGTATGTACCGTGCAGCAACTAAATCAGTGTCTTATTTCAGAATAGTGTGTAAACTACTGAGTGAGATCTATGAACACATTCATTGCCTATACAAGCTGTCTGACATTGTCTCAATGCTGGATATGCTGCTTTCATTTGCCCATGCCTGCACTCTTTCTGATTATGGTAAGTTTTTTCTTTGATTCCATTGTGGGCCATATAATGACCCTCCTGTTGGAGAATATCCAGGCTGTTTGTCTGGTTCTCCAATTGCTAAGCCCACATCATTTATTTTTCTGGGTCTCAGTAGGCTTTAGGTGAGTGCCTCTGGTCTATCCTTGCCAGTTTTGTGCTGATGTTCTTTCTCTTTCCATTCATTGAAATTACATTCTGCCATTTAGCTGCTGTAAGCTTTCACAGCCGGTCTTTTTAAGATAGCCAGTTTAAGCATGTTCTATTCAAAAGCACAAAGACTGTGAACATTCTGAATCTACACTTCTGTTCTGAAAGGGCACAAGATAATATAAGCTGATCAACATTAAGTATATACCATGAAACAAAATATGTGGCTACCTTTGTTTATCTGCTTCAATTTCTGTGGCACTTTCAGACACTTTTGGAAGTAGAGTCTTCTAAGGAATCCAGGATCACGTGCTTACCTGCATATGGTTCATCCTGCTTCCCTAGCCCCGTTCTACATTGTATAGATGAGCACATTGTCTTCAATTAATGTTGACCTGAGATACTTATCTAGAGTACAATATAGTGTAGATACTAAATCAGGTCTGGAAGCCATCTCAGATGTATTAGCTCATCATTACTGATGCTGCTATGTAATTTCCAGATCATGAGCAGCATCAGTTTACTTTGCAGTATGGACTGTGAATCTCTATGTGCTGATGATTCCAGTCATAGCACATTAATTGATATGTAACTGAACAGTAAGTGATATGCTTGAGGCATCACAACCTTTTCCCGCCAAATGAATTGGAGCACAAGTTTTCTTTAGCAGTAATAATAAGACCAAAGCCACTTAGCTTCTCCCATAAATCTACACCTGCAGTTTTGCACAGGCAGGAATGAATGGGTATCCACCAAAAGAAATGGACTGTCATTTGTAGCTTTTGGTCCCCTTTGCCATTTGATTCTCTCATCTAAATCATCAAATGACTAAAACCTACACCAGGTAGTTAGAGTTCCCCAATGTTTAAAACTGAAAAACTGTGTTGGCACTTCTTTCTTGAAGGCTGCTCCATTTAAACAGACCACCAAATTTAACAGTGCTTCTTTGTTAGCCTGGGGTACTGCTATTGAGGTAGACAAAAAGGAGGCATAAGGAATAGGTTCAGAAAAGAACTGTATTCTGACAGAAATACGTACAGATAGTCCCAGTATCAAATGGATCTATGTAGGCATAGTATACACCCAAATAATCAATATGATAAAATATAACAAAAATAGAAGGAGTGCTACTTCCTTGTTTCCTGTGCTTACATAATAAGGCACATACGTAGTAGTAACAGAGTTCATGACCCCTGTACTTTATATGCTCATAGCAGTACAAAAATAAATTATTAAAAATATATTATCTGTGAAACTGGCTTTCAGATTTTCTGTTTTAATTACTTCTTAAGTTTTGTTCTTTGTATTTTTCTTTATTACTGGAGTCCAACCCTACTTACTGAAGAACACAAACACAGAATGCTAATTTAGAAATTAAGTGTTAGTTATGGGATTCTTTTTGTAGTAATAAATCATGAAGACTTGCATGACAATCAGAATCTATACCTGAAGGTGGCTGGTAATTCTTCCCAACTGCTGCATGTTAGGCTTGTTCACTACAGGAAAGTAGAAATTAGGGAATCAGGACCACAAAGTTTGACTTCTGCTCTGCAAGAATTACTTTATTTCAAAATGCAGTAGTTTAATAACATGAAGGTTTCCACACTAACTCTGCAGTGTTTTATATCTTTTTTCTCATTTAGTTCGTCCAGAATTTACGGATACTTTAGCGATCAAGCAGGGTTGGCATCCCATTCTTGAAAAGATAGCTATGGAAAAACCTGTATCTAACAACACATACCTGACAGAGGGTAACAATTTTGTCATTATTACAGGACCAAATATGAGTGGAAAATCAACATACCTAAAACAGATTGCTCTCTGTCAAATTATGGCACAGATTGGTGAGTAAGAATGTACTGTCTTAGGAACCTTCTGCAGCACATTTATTGTTTTCTAGTTAAAAATATTTATGAAGTTGAATGATTTGGCTTCTAGAATAAGATTTTGTCTAAATAGTAACAGGTAATTTTTAGTCTGTTCGCTCCTACTAGCTCTTGTGCTGCTGACAGAGGCCACTGCAAGGTTTTGGGTCTGCCATTGGAAACATTTGGGGCCTGGTCTGTGTATCTGGAAGCCTCCCCAGTCTGTCTTCAGGAAAAGCACAGTTGTATGCTTTAATTCTTTGGAGCACCTTAACCCAATCTAGCACTTTTTGCTAGATTGATAGTGAGTATCCTTGAAGTATGCCCATCGGGCCACATATGTATTTGTCACCCAAAAGGAACAGATGAACTTGAGCATACCTCAGTTATGTAGAGAAACATGCTTACAGCCAAGTAGAACTAACAGATAAATAATCAACTACTTCAAATAAAAGTAGTAATAAATACTGCAAGGTTCTATCACTAATTTGTAAAAGCAAAACAAATATTTGTAAAGTCTAACGGAGACTCATCCCTATACTTGGGAATTCCTCATGATTTTTACCTTAAAGATAAAGGTAAGGCTGGTAGCACAGGAGAAAGACCTTAGTAGGCTGGCCCTAAATCTACTAGAATGAAACTACTTGGCACTGAAGAAGAAAATTTATCCACCGTGTGTTTGTGGGTCCAGTCCCCAACAACTGCCAGTTCTTCAGGAATTGCTCTCAAAAACTTGAGTTTTAATGTGAGTAAAGGGGACTGTAAAGTCTTCTGGCAGGTTTCCTGTTCTTTTCTCTTCATTAAAACTAATAAGCCTCAAAGTCTGATAAAGGCAATATAATCTTGTTTTTGGGAAACTAAGATTCCTTGGGATTAGTAACTCAATGGCTACAGAAATGTAGGTTGATCCTAGTGTTTATTCTCACTTTTGCATCCCTTTAGATGACACACAGCTTCAGGCATATGATTTCTTAAGGTTTTACTGATAAGCTTCTTTAATTATGGTAGCTATATAATAATTTTTTCTTATAAAGTAACGGTAGAACACAATCTTAGGAAACTTTATAGAATAAGATGCATTCTCTGCAGTGCATAAAGACCAAATGTAAAACTCTTATTTTTGTTTCCCCACTGACGTATTCAGGAAAATGGGCATTTGTCACACTGATACGAGAAGACTTGTATTTTACTTGTTTTGTAGGTTCCTACGTCCCAGCAGAGTATTGTTCTTTTCGAATTGCAAAGCAAATTTTTACCAGAGTAGGTATGGATGATGATATAGAAACAAATGCATCAACATTCATGAAGGAAATGAAAGAGGTATTAAACATAGCTAATCCAGGGTCCAAGGCCCATTTTTACTGTTAAGCTAATAGAAATTGTACTAGTATATTTTCACAGAAAGAGTGTACTTTGAAAAGTAGTCAAAAATTCAGCTTTCATCTGTTAACTTGATGATAAACTACAGAAAACCAGGCATATCTTAAATAAAAATATATCCCAGTATGAGTAAAAATCAGTGCTCTATTGGATAGTAGTTTCAACATTTTGTTATTTCTTAGACCTGAAGTGATTATTTGTAGAAGCCTGAGCCCTCTCAGTTTCCTCTCCCAAACTGACAGGATTTTGAGGGAATGTGATATGTTCAATGGAAAAGAGAAAGAGTGCTGTAATATGAGTCTTTGATTAGAATTGACAGCTATTTGAAAGCTGTGAAAAGGTAAAATTTGTGGATTTGACAAGACTTTTTAAAATTTCTGCATTAAGTTTCATCTGAATAGCACAAAGTAGTCCTATTAGCAGCAGTATTCCTATTAGGGTTTTAAAAAAATGCATTTATGGGAAAGATAACACATTAAATATTTTCCTAGATAACATACATCATACAAAATGCTAATGAAAAATCACTCATCATAATTGATGAACTCGGCAGAGGTACCAGTGCTGAAGAAGGTATTGGCATTTGTTATGCTGCCTGTGAATATCTGTTGAATTTAAAGGTAATTCTGTTTTGAAAAAAAAATTAAACCTTATAATTATTTTGTCCTACTGAAAGTCAATACAGTATTTTCTCATAATTTAACTTCATTTTTGTAGAGATTTCTTGCCTAAATATGATATTTTTCATAACTGGTGAATAGTAAGAATTAGTGATAGAGAAAAAATGCCGATGTAAACTGCGCTTCTGTTCACTGGTTGTTGGATTTAACCCCAGGAGGCAGCAGAACGCCACCCAGCTGCTCACTCACTCCCCCACAGTGAGATGGGGGAAAAGAATTGGAAGGGTAAAACTGCAAAAACTTGCGGGCTTAGATAAAGACAGTAAAACAAAGCCGCGCACACAAGCAAAGCAAAACAAGGAATTCATTCACCACTTGCCGTTGGCAGGCAGGTGTTCAGCCATCTCCAGGAAAGCAGGGCTTCATCACACGTGATGGTTACTTGCAAGACAAACACCACAGCTCTGAACATCCCTCCTTTCTCCTTCCTCTCTGCAGCTTTTATTGCTGCATCATATGGTCTGGAATATGGTCAGTTGGGGTCAGCTGTCCTGGCTGTGTCCCTTCCCAACTTCTTGTGCACCCCCAGCCTACTTGCTGGTGGGGCTGGGTGAGAAGCAGGAAAGGCCTTGACGCTGCGCAAACACTGCTTAGCAATAGCTAAAACATGGGCATGTTACCAACACTGTTTTGGTCACAAATCCAAAACGTAGCACCATACAGGCTACTGTGAGCAAATTAACTCTAGCCCAGCCAAAACCAGTGCGCTGATCACCTATTTCTGTACAGCTTTGTATGCTTGAATGTTAAAGGTGAACCTGTTTACCTGGCTGTTACCCTTCCAAAATACAGTGGTAGTTCTATACAACTTATGAATTGGTCACAGAAATTAGAGATTGTTTAGAAAAGTGGAAGATGGTTTTAGAGGGGTTGGAAGTTTCACCTCTATTACCAGTTACATCACAAACCTCAGGTTGTTGTCAGCTTTTTGAAATAAGCGTGTAGGTGTTCAGTTTCTCATCAGAATTTACTCGGAGTACTTTTGTGGTTTGATTTCAAAAGCTCAGATATTTTCTATAGCTTGTACTTTTGGCAGAACATTCCTTGCGAGTAAGGCAACTATTTGACAATCATTCAAATTAGCCCTAGTCAAATTTTGCAGGCATCATGGATTGCCTGTTAATCCTGATATGCTTTTCCTTCTATTGAGAAAGGAGTGGGAGAACCCCCAGTTGGGAAAGATAACCTTGCCAGTGGTAGAACTCAATGCTTAAAGATTTTAATTTGCTTTAGTAATTTAAAGACAGCTTTTCAATGTTTTGGAGGAAAACCTGGACATCTGTGACATCATTTATTTTTTCCTATTTATTGTCATTTATTCCAGGATCATTTCCAAAATAGATTTTCTTTCTTGTTTCCTTATTTAGGCGTTTACATTGTTTGCTACACATTTCCTGGAACTGTGTCATATAGATGCTTTGTATCCCAATGTGGAAAATTACCATTTTGAAGTGCAACATATGAGAAGCAGTGCTGGAAATAAGGAGAAAATTGCTTACACTTACACACTCTCTAAAGGATATACAGAGGAAAAGAACTACGGTAATGGATTCCAAAATGACTTTAACTTAGTACAGATTATATAGGATACTATTTCAGTTATTAGGCATCTAACTATTTTTCTGCTGACAGATATCTGCTGAGTTTATTTGTCTCTCATGGAGTAACAACTGCAGATCTGTAATATATTCCAAATACTTGTGCTTTAAGTAACCATGTAGTGAGATAGTAGTTTGGGGTAGTATGAAGAACTTACATGAAATTTCATAGTGAAAAAAAATTTTAGTAATGTCGGTACCTACTTGATTCACCTCTGTTTGAACAAGATGAGCCATTCTGAGCACGAAGCACTTGAGCTGATTTAATCTCTGCTGATGGAAGCGAGTGAAAGTTCTGGAGAGACTTAAAAGCTGTGAATGCTGAGGTTTGTGTTATGCAAAACTCTCTTCTATGTCTGCCATAAGTAATAATATATCAGTTAAATAGCAGCTTGGCCCTTTTTGATTAGCAAAAAGGAATCAAGTTTCTTTGAAAAAGGACAGGAATTTTACTGTGTCTTAGCCTAAGGCTATTTTGAGAGGTTCCACTAAAGCATCAGTGTTCTCAGGAAAGTGGGTTAATTTTAGAATAAATCATACTGAAGACTGTACTGGTGGATGGATTATGAGTCAATAAATCAGTGAGTGACAGTAAGGCATAGCTACCTGTTTTAAAGAGTTACAGAAATCCACATGTTTCCAAATACTAGATTCTGAAGTTGGATCCTTGATTTAGGTGACATTTAATCAATAGGAAATTAGCTACACTTGACTTGTGCAAGCTAGTGGTAACTGAAGACTACAAATTATTCCAGTCAAGCTTCAATTAATTGGACTTAAAACATTTCTTTATCAGAATTTTGGAATAAGTTTCTTTATCTTTGGCAGCACAAGCTCAATTTCGGATGCTACGCCACCACTAACGCAGAAAAATCGTATGTTTAGAGAGTATTCTCAGAGAACAGGAAACCTTTAGTAACTCAGTGTTGGTGTCTTGGCTTTACCTTACTTGAGCAAAGTTACATTCTAAGAAAGAGTGCAAGGGCTCTTCTTAACCCTTTTTTTGTTTTTAACCCTACAGTATTAAAGCACCCAATGAAGCACGGAATTTTCTCAGAACAGCCACAGGCAAAGGAAAAAATCATGTTAGGGCAGAAGAAAATATTTTACATCTCTTTCTTACCCTGAGTATCTGGCAGTTTGGCTACTGGCAACAGAGTAGCAGTTGGAACTTGACATCCATATCCACTGGATGTCTGGATTTAATGGAGAGTGCATTTAGCACAACCTCAGTATTTTCTGGCCTACCAAATTAAAAAACTAAACAGAAGCTGTTAACACCACTATGCCATTTTTTTCCTTTAACCCCTAATGTGTCTCATCCTGCCAAGTTACAATATTACCAGCAGTAACTTCACCTGGAAGTGTATCTTAGAGGTAGCATTACAACAAAGTAGACATTTTCTTTTGTAACGCTCAAACCCATATTGTTCATTTAAAAAAAAATGAAAAAGAGACACAAAGAGAAAATGTATATCAAAATTATTTTAATAAAAATGAAAACTTCACCCTTTAAAAAAACCAGGCTAAGTTAATTCTGGCAGACATAGTGTGGAAGGTAGGAAGAAAAATTATATAAAAAATCCTGATTTATGTTTTATATGTTTAGGATTAAAAGCTGCAGAAGTTTCTTCCCTACCATTATCGGTAATTTTGGATGCAAAGGAAATCACAAATCATATTGCAAAACAAATTTTGGTATGTAGTAGAAAATTATAATACTGTAATTCACAGTTTTTATAAAATGGAAATATATTTTCAGTTTCTGAAAGGATATAGGATGAGCACTGCCTATGGTTTTATGAAAACAGATTTCATTAAAATTTGTATTTCTGGAACCAGTTATAAAAGATTATGCTGAAGGTCCCTGTTAGGTGACAACACAAAGCAGTCCTTAGGGTTAAGGAGTATTGCATGTAATGTTGGTGTACAAACCAAGAATCAGGAGATCAGGAACAGGCTGGAAAATAGCTAATATTAGTATTTTAATAATAGAACATAATCAGTTTTGTATTTTAATGCATGTGTATGTTTTTAAGAACAGCACAGGCAGCAAAGCACTCCTGAGATGATGAAACAGAGAGCTGTATACCATTTAGCAATGAGATTGGTTCAGACTGCCAGAAATTCTCGACTGGATCCAGACAGTTTGCGTATATATTTGAAAGGCTTGAAGAAAAAGTACGAAGCCAGTTGTCCTGTACCCAGACAAAATGATGAGCAACAGTAATGTGTAACATAGGCTGTTACTCTAATTTTTATGACTGCAAGATGATTTTGGGTTTTTTCCATAGTATTAGAAAACACTGCTTTTCACATGTTTTTAAATTCTTAATTCTTAGTCTAAATCATATTCACTACTGAAAGACCATATCTTTCACAGTTTTTTTTCCCCCAAACATACCTGAAATAAAAGCATTTACTGTCTATGAGGAACACAATTCTTTTTGATAATGAACTATATCCCTTCCATTATTTTAGAGACAAAAAAGTTGTATAAAATTTTGTATTTTCTGTAAGATATATCTGGTATTATAGCTCTTGCATCTGATACTAAAGATCTTGCCTAACAAAAAGCAGTCTTTAAAACAGATGGTCCACTTGTCTTGCATAGGCAGGCTCTATTTGTACTGTTGAACGTGCATCCATAAATCCTGTTGTTCCCTGCTCAAGAAGGGTGCTAGCTCTCAGTCATTATGCTTAATGCAACATAATGTAGGCAGTCCAGGACTGCTTCCTTTCGAGAACTGGGCAGCCAGAGCTTTTTTGTAACACAGTAATAGCAAATTACTCTGGTATTGACACTGTTGATCATTTTTTGTTTAGAAAGTGACTAACAGGAAATCAACAAAAAGTTTAATATCCTTCTTCATTGATTTTTTTTTTAGTACAACTTCATTGAGTGACTGCAGCCATGTATTCCCGCTTGAAGGAATTTATCTTTCCTCACTTCCTTCTAACCAACTTTGGCCAAGAGTTCTTATATATTTCTATTTTATATATATGTGTGTGTGTGTATATATAAAATTTATTATGCATATATCTATAAAATGGGTAATACACAACAGTGCAATATCTAGTTTATAACAACAAATATATTTTTATGTATAGTTATACTATGTATTTCCTTAGTAAAACGTGCCTGAGGACAGTGCCACGGGAAGGGGGTACCCATGGTGTCTGAGGTGGTGGGGGCTGGTCCCAAGGTCTTTCAGATGTCTTTGGATCCCTGGGGCTTCCTGGAGAACCCCAGTGCTCTTCACAGGGCTGCAGGGGATTTCCCTTGCCCTTCATTTGTAGCTTGATGTGCCCCAGAGCCTTCCGTTCGCCCGCTGAATCCATCAGTTCACATTTTGAGTTGTTCCAGAGTCCTCCATATGCCTTTCTGTGTGCCCCTGAGCCCTGTGTTTGTCTTGCAGTGTGCCACAAAGTTTTCTGTTTAGCTGTCTCCCGTGCCAGAGTTTTCCCGGTGCTTTTTGGTGTGCTTCAAGGTCAGCTGTTTCTCTTTCCATGCATAGCAGGGCTCTCCCTTTGCCTTGTGCACCCAGAGTCTTCTGTCTGCCCTTGTCATCCCCTGATCTTGTCTTGGTTTTCCTTTTATTGCACCCCAAGAGCTCTGCATCTGTTCTCTTGTCCCCTTAATACTCTTCCCTCTTTGTGCACCCCTGAGCTCTTCCTTTAGCTTTCAGCAAGCTGCTGTCAGGATCTGGGATGCGCCTCTGCTGCCCCAGCAGACCTGGTTGTCTCTTTGGGGGCTGGTGGCCACGGCCCCGCGTTCCCCATGGGCCGCAGCTGTAGGCCGGGGGTTGGGCAGGAAAGGTGCCTGGCCGGTGCGGCTGAGGGCGGCGGCCTCTGTGTCCCACGGGCTGCCGCTGCGAGGCGGAGGCGGCCGCGCTCTGTCAGGGAAGCGGGGGTGGGGGGCCGCTCTGGCCGGGGCGGCCGCGCTCTGTCAGGGAAGCGGGGGTGGGGGGCCGCTCTGGCCGGGGCGGCCGCGCTCTGTCAGGGAAGCGGGGGTGGGGGGCTGCTCTGGCCGGGGAGGGCGCGCCCGAGCTGGTGTGGGACGGCGGAGCCGCCGCTGAGCATCAACCGCCAGCTGGGACGGGCACTGGCACTACGGCTGCAACCGCCGAGGCTGTAGGCGCGGGCCGGGGGTCTCCGCAACAGCGAACGTCCCGGACGAGGCGACGCAAACAGCGGGGGGCGCTGGGGAGGCGCGATGGGCAAGCCGCGCTGGGGGCGGGGGGTGCCCCGGTGCAGTGGGGAGCCGGGTCCGCGGGGGCGGCCGGCACACGGTAGCCGTGGTGGAGGGAAGAGACGCGCGGGGGCGGCGGGGCAGCGGCATCGAGGGGAGCTGCTCGCCGTTGGGTGGGAGTAGTGCGGCGGGAGCCCTGGGTCAGGTCTGAGCGCTGCGCGGGGTGGGAGGCCCCCGGGGCGGTCGGGGGGGAGCGGGTTAAGGGACGCTTCGGAGCTGTGCCGGGGGCGTGGGGCGGCGCGGCAGGGGCCATGCCGTGCCGGCATTGAACCGGAGCCGGTGGCGGGGCAGCCCTGGGCCCCTCCGGCGGGACCGATGGTCGCACTGCGGCCTCCGCGGGCGCTTCCAACCGGGCGGGAGGCGGCGAGGGACGGAAGACCTGCGGCGGCAAATCTGTCGGAACCGGGCTCCGCCGAGCATGCCGGGAGGCGCGGTGTTCGGACGGACGGCTTCGGGGCGGCCGTGTTGTGCCCGTGACGTGCCGGGAGGTGTAGTTTTCTGCCGGGGGAGGGGTCGGGTCGGCCGTGTGGCACGCTGGGAGCTGTAGTTCCGGGTGTGCCTGCCTCCTCTACCCCGCGGGAGTGACTTGGGGTGTCCGTGCGTCGCTCACATGAGAGTCCCCGGCGATTGCCGGGAACGGTGGAGTTTCCTCAGTTTTTCCCAGCTCAGGACAGGGTTTCGTGGAAGTTGCCGGTCACTGCAACTGACAGGAAGCAGTGCA